GCTCTGTGGCCCTGGGCAGGAGGGCATGTGGGGCCTCATTGCCTCCAGGTAAACCCCACGTGGGCTCAGTGACAGTGAATGTTTTCTTGTCATCTTCAACCTCTTTCCAGTCATCTTCAACCTCTAGCCAGGAGGAGAAGTCATTCCGCGCAGAGGAGCTGTCCGCTGGGGGGATCCCCATCGAGCGGGCTGTCTCCTCCGAGGCAGCCCGGCCCTCCGTGGACCTCTCCTTCCAGCCTTCGCAGCCCCTGAGCAAGTCCAGCTCCTCACCTGAACTGCAGACCCTGCAGGACATCCTGGGGGACCCTGGGAACAAGGCTGATGTTGGCCGGCTGAGCCCTGAGGCTAAGGCTCGGTCACAGTCAGGGATCCTCGATGGGGAAGGCGCTGCCTGGTCAGCCCCAGGCGAAGCCAGCCGGGGCCCCTCCCACGCCGAGGGCCCCATGCCTTCCAGCTGTCCCCGTTCCCCCAGTGGCCTGCGGCCCCGAGGCTACACCATCTCCGATTCGGCCCCGTCACGCAGGGGCAAGAGGGTGGAGAGGGACTCCTTCAAAAGCAGAGCAGGAGCCTCCAATGCCGAGAAGGTGCCAGGTATCAATCCCAGGTGAGCCTCACCCTCTGGGCTGGAGCTCCCGGACAGTCTCGGGTGACATGGCATCTAATTGCTTGGGTAGAAAAGGCTGGGGTACAGGTCTGCATATCCTCTGTTCTGGGCTGTTCAGAGTCACAGGAGAGGGCAGTCCTTGGGCAGTGGGCACAGGCCCTGCTGCTCTGTGTGTGCTGTGATCGCACTGCCAGGACCTCGATCTGGGACCTGCAGTGCCACGCTCGGCCCTCATCATCTTTCCCTCTGCAGCTTTGTGTTCCTACAGCTCTACCATTCGCCTTTCTTTGGTGACGAGTCCAACAAGCCAATCCTTCTGCCCAATGAGGTGGGCATGCCTTTTCTCCCCTTCAGGGGTTCCCTGGAGCCTGGGGTCAGGGCACAGTGGGATGCCAGCTCTGGGTAGTGGTGGCCTTAACCCAGGCTTGCAGAGGGCTGCAGCCTCCGCTCCCTGTGGCAGCCTATGGTGATCTACCTGGGTGGGGTGAGCCCTCCCTTGGCAGGCGTCTGGCTGAGCCTGGCCAGGCAGGGCGGGTGGCAGGGGACAAGCCACTGCCCTGGGCTCAGACCAGGCTCTGTGGCTATAGTCTTTCGAGCGGTCAGTGCAGCTCCTCGACCAGATCCCATCATATGACACGCACAAGATTGCCGTCCTGTACGTGGGAGAAGGCCAGGTGAGGCTGCTGGGAGGCAGGGCCTGGCCTGAGTGCCGGGGCAGAGCTGGGCGGCCTTCCTGCTTGGGTTGGGGGTTGGGGGTTGGGAGTATGGACCTTGGTCCTCCACAGAGCTGTTACCCTGTAAGTTGCTAGAGTATTGTTGAGCTCCATGCCAGGTACTATTCTGATGTGAGGACCCAGGAGTGAGAAAGGTCAGTGTGTGAGCACATGTACCCCAGAGGGTGCTGAGGACTGGAGGGTGCTGCTCTCGTCAGTGATCCAAGGGAGGTGACACTGAGCAGAGATGTGAGGGAGATAGTATGTGTGCAGGTGTGTGTGGGGGCATCCATTGTGGGAAAAGCCCATGCAAAGGCCCTGGGGAGGGGCACGCCTTGTGTAATTGAGGGTTGGCAGTGAGTGAGCACTGGGCAGGGGGTGGAGGTGGGGAACTAACGGGGAGGGGCCAGTCAGCGAGAGCCTCATGGGTCGCTGTAAGGCTGCATTTCTATTCCCAGTGAGGTGGGAGGGTCTTGGATGGCTTTGAGTCAAGGGTTTGCTATGACTCAACCAAAACCTCAAAAGCATCCTCTGGTTGCCGAGTGGAGAAGTGGGGTAGTGACAGTCCAAGTGAGAGAGGGCAGGTCTGAGGGGTAGGTCAGTGGGTGCTGAGGAAGGCTAGGGTTCTGGGTGTATTTTGACAATTGAGCTGACTACATTTGCTGGCAGACTAATTATGAGAGAAGGGGGAAGTCCAGAATGTCACCTGGGCAACTGTTGGAATGAAGTTACCTTGTACTGAGTCCGGGTTGATGACAGAAGTGGGGGTCTTTGCCAAGCCACACCATTCACCCCCCCCCCCCCAACTACCCCCGGCTCCCAGCAACCCCCTGGGGCCCTTGGGAGCTGTGCTCGGGGGAGGGCAACTTGGGAGAGGTGCCACCATACTTCTCTCTCTACAGAGCAATAGTGAACTTGCCATCCTGTCCAACGAGCATGGCTCCTACAGGTACACGGAGTTCCTGACAGGCCTGGGCAAGCTCATCGAGCTCAAGGACTGTCAGCCGGATAAGGTGTACCTGGGTGGCCTGGACGTGTGTGGCGAGGACGGCCAGTTTACCTACTGCTGGCATGATGACATCATGCAAGGTGTGAGCCGTCCTGTGGCATGTGTCCTCCCAACCTCCTTCCTATTGGCCTGTCCTCAGGGGAGCAGGGGAGGTGTCCAAGGGCCTGAGGGCATCAGCTTGAGCACTGAGGCAGCAGTTGGTTTGCAGCTCTGCTTCCGGAAGCTCTGCCCTCAGGGAGGGGAGCCAAGCTGCTGGCCAGGCACCAGAGACATGGCTCCTGCAGGCGCCCAGAGCCTCTGCTCCTGCCGAGAGGCATAGAGGCCCCACTGCCCCTGGCCGGCACCCTGCCTGGCCTGGGCCGGGCCCATGCAGCTTCCCCCTCTCCCTCACAGCTGTCTTCCACATTGCCACCCTGATGCCCACCAAGGACGTGGACAAGCACCGCTGTGACAAGAAGCGCCACCTGGGCAACGACTTTGTGTCCATTGTCTACAATGACTCTGGCGAGGACTTCAAGCTGGGTACCATCAAAGTGAGCAAGGGGATTTCAGGGCGGGTGGGCATGAATCTGGGTCCCTGGGCACTCTAGCTGGGGGCCACGTCTCTGGGGAAGTGCCCACTGGCACATGTTGAATAGAAGCAGTGAGTGCCACTGAGGTCAGTGTGGTGACAAGCAGCAGCACTGACTTGCTTTAGTGTCCCCCACTGCCAGCTGGGGTGGCCAGGTCCCCCCTGAGCCTGTGTCCTTTGTAATGAGGATGATAACCCTGCCAGTTTCTTCTTTGAGCCTGTGGCACACAGCTTTGGTTTTGTGAGGAATAACTGGATGCACATGTGCTTAGCAGGGTGCGTGCATGTAGTAGGTGCTTAGTGTGCGCATAATGCTGTGATCCCTGTTCCCTTGCTACCGCCTATCATTGCAGAGTGGTGGGGCTGGGGATAGGCCCTGGATTCCCTCCCCTTTTCATGTGCTTGGGCTTGAGGTCCTAAGGGGAGGAGGTGGGCTCAGTCCTGGCAACTTGTCAGAGTGGGGACATGGAAGACGGCTGCAAGGCCAAGCAGGATGGGGAGCCCAGCGCAGCCCAGGTGTCTGAGGTGCTGGTGCTCAGAGGGGTTCAGATTTATTCTCAATGCAACGGGAAGCTTTGGAGGTTACTGAACACAGGCTCTGGGCAGAAGACGTGGAGGGCAGGAGTGCCTATAGGGAGGCTGGTTGGTTCTCCTTTGCTGCAAAGCTGGGAGCCCAGGGAGTGCCGAGGCGTGGGTGGTGAGGCTGCCCCGTGGGGTGAGTGTGCGGTACTGGGACGTGCGGGCTGGTGAGGCTCTTGGGAGCTGTCAGCGTGTGGAGGGCATCTGAGCCAGGGGCTGGGAGCCTGCAGAGCTACGCGTGCTGCTTTCAGTTGACAATGAGGCAGTTTTCAGCTGGGTGGCAGCAAGTGCCCCAAACAGTGTTGTGTGTATGTGTGTGTATATGTATGTGTGTCTGGGGGGGGTGCTCTGTGACTGTTTAAGATTATGACTGTGAACTTAAACTTTGGCAAATTCATATGCTGGGATCCTGGTGTGGGAGAGGTTGGGTTTTAGAACATAAGGCAGCCAAGAGGACATATACCAGCCCCAGACCCCAGGCTGGATAGGAGGGAGTGTGCAAAAACAGCAGTGGCATCAGCGAGCATCTAGCACTGATGAGCCGCTGCCCTTCATGAGGAAGTGGCAGAAGGTGGCCTTGGTGCTGGGGTGACCCTGCTTCTGTCTGAGCAGGGCCAGTTCAACTTCGTCCACGTGATCATCACCCCCCTGGACTATGAGTGCAACCTGGTGTCGCTGCAGTGCAGGAAAGGTGAGGCCTGGGGCCTGGTGGGGAGGCTTTCGGGGTCCTGAGCCCCATGTGAGTGCTGTGTTTCCCCCAGACATGGAGGGCCTTGTGGACACCAGCGTGGCCAAGATTGTGTCTGACCGAAACCTGCCCTTCGTGGCCCGCCAGATGGCCCTACATGCAAATGTGAGCAGAGGCGGCATCTTGGGCAGGTGGGACAGGCCATAGGTACCACCCACAGAGGACTCACCACTCTGCCCACCCTGCCCCAGATGGCCTCACAGGTGCACCACAGCCGCTCCAACCCCACTGACATCTATCCCTCCAAGTGGATCGCCAGGCTCCGCCACATCAAGAGGCTCCGCCACCGGGTAGGGAGGATGGGCACCTGGTTGCAGAGGTTCCCCCAGACAATGGTGGCTGGCCAGGGTGGGCGCCAATGTTCACCTGGGAGAAAACACGTGCTGCCCTCTGGGCTTGCTGCCAAGGCCTCCTCTCTCCTCAGATCCGTGAGGAAGCCCACTACTCGAACCCCAGCCTGCCCCTGATGCACCCCACGGGCCATGCCAAAGCCCCAGCGCAGGCCCCCGCCGAGCCCATGCCCACCTATGAGACAGGCCAGCGGAAGCGCCTCATCTCCTCCGTGGATGACTTCACAGAGTTCGTGTGAGGCTGCAGCTGGGGCAGTGCCTGGTCCTGGGGGAGCTCACGAAGACGCTGAGGACATGCCCAGGGCTCCTTGCAGCTGCCCTGCTAGACTCCCTGCCCCCTACAAGGCATTGGGCAGCATTTATTTGTGCAAATGAATAAAGTGGTCGTGTGCCCACTGGCCCTCAATGCTCAGACACAGACACAGGTAGCAGTCAGCCAACTCGTTTATTTGACTTTGTCTGTTGGGGGGAGGAGAAGAGGGGCAGGATCAAGGCTGAAGCTTTGGCCATGCCCACAGAGTTAAGGGGGCCCATCAGGTTGTTTTCAAGGCCTCCCCCCTTCAGGAAAGCCTCACACAAGTGTTTGCACACTCCCCTTCCCCAGCCCCGGGAGCCAGCCCCAGGGAGGGGTCTTCCCCCACAGTAGTGCTGTTCCTGATTCAGACCCGACACCAGCAGGCCTGGGCCCTGCCTCTCACTGCCTGGCCTTGGGCAGGGTAGCAAGGCCATGGTGGTGATAAGAACTGCCTAGGGAGTAGCCATGCCCTCAAACAAAAGCCCCAGCACCTGCCCAAGGCCAGACTCAGAAACAAGCAGCAGCTGTCACTTTCTTGGCTCTGGCCATGTGGGCACATGTCTAAGGGAAGGAGGCCAGCTCTGCAGTCCCAGCTCCCCCTCCATGCAGGCAACAGTGGGCACCAGGCCATTGCAGCCACCAGGCCCCTTGGCCCTAGTGAAAAATAGCGACGTACAAAAATATATACATTTTTAACCCCATATAAATTACTGACAATAGACACATAGATGGCAGCTGGAAGTAAGTGCACTCAGCAGGGGACAGGAGAGGTAATAATTTAGGGGGAGGATAAGGGGTGCAGGTTCCCTCCCCGCAGCCTGGATCCTTAGCAAGGGGGAAATGTCTGCCCAGGAGGTGGGGCCGGGCACAGCCCGCTGTACCTGAGGACTTGGGAAATAAATTAGTATCTCAAAGGCCGGGCACTCGGTCCAATACTGCTGTGTCCTCCCACAGGGGGCTGGAGAGGGGACCCTGGGTCCTGACTGGCCACTTGGCCTCTTTAAAGTGCTGAAGCCCACAGAGAGACAAGTGCTGCCCGCTCTCTGGGGGAGCTGCATGCAGCTGTTCTGCCTGGCCCTAGACCTTGAGGGTGGCAGAAAGTAATACTGAGCATTATCTCCTGGGCCCAAGGGGCTGGAGTGAAGCCACAGGCCACCCCGGGGAAAAGGCGTGAGCTCAGGTCCCTGGGGACTAAGTGCTGCTGGGGTGGACCTTGTTCTTGGCCCGGAAAGAGGCCCTGCTGGGGCTTGTAGTCAGGCCGATGCCTCTACTGGCCCGGGCAAGGCGGCTGGGCAAGGCTGACTGCAGGCCTGTGGAGGAGCCAGGGGGCGGTAAGGCTGGGGACCCGCTGGTTCTTCGGCCGTGCAGGCTCTGCAGCCTTCGCTCCAGCTGGTAGACGTCCTCCGTGGCCTGGTTGAGTCGGTCAAACTGGGCAAGTAGGGCCTCGAACACGGCTTGGAGGCGGGAGGGCTCGGGTTCCACCCGTGGCCCTGGCCTGCCTAGGCCCACACCCAGCCCGTCCAGCTGGCTAGAAGAGGTTGAGAGACGGGAGGCATCGGAGTCCCCGGTAGGCGGGGGCACATCTGGGGACGACTTGGAGCCCCTGGATGAGCGGGAGGGCAGTGGCTCCATCCCTTCGAAGCGGACTTTGTGGCGGAACTGGGGGCGGCACAGGGGCTCGGTTAGTCCGGCTGCGCCCTGGTGAGCCCAGGGCGCGTCCCTCTCCCCCCCACTGGGCCGTACCCACCTCCTTGACCTTGCTGAAGCCCATCCAGAGGCGCAGTCGGCGCAGCAACAATTCTACCATCTCGTAGTCCTGTGGCTCCCAAGCCGGGCGGTAGAGCTCCCCACGAAGAGTATGGTACCGCCACCGGAGAAGGACTGCCCCCAGCCTCAGAGCACCCCACAGTCGCAGGGCCCAGAGCCCCGTGCACAGCACAGGGGACAGGCGCCAGGACTCAGGGCACAGGGCTGGCCAACCAGCCCTGGGGCACACCACCAAGAGGGCCTGGGCCGCACTCTTCAGTGAGTCCACGCAAGAGGATACCAGCTATGGGAAAGGTGGCATGAGTCAGGGGTGCACCCCGGGCTAAGCCTCCCCCGAGAGCCCCCCCCATCACCTACCAGAACAGCCAGCTGAGCATAGGCCACCGCGAGCGTCACCAGGCCTAAGGCTGCCCCCAGGAGCTCCGGCAGGGCCCGGCACAGCGTCTTGCCGAAAACCGACCACTGACGCACGAAGCGCAGCTGCTGGGTGGCCTGTGGGCAAGGGGCGTCAGCCGACCAACCCTGGCCCCGCCTGCCCACCCCCGTGCCTGCTGGTCCAGCCCTCACCTTGACCAAGAGCAGGAAAAGCAGCGAGGCGGCCAGACCACGGGCCGCAGCGCTCAGCTGCGCCACCTGCTCAAAGCTGGTGAAGCGGCGCGGGCGGCGGCGCACGAAGCGCGTCCACTGGCGGTCGGCAGCGCCCAGCTGGGCCAGGCGCAGGAGGGCGGCGGCAGCCGTCAGTGCCACCAGCAGCCACCGCGCCCAGGCCCCCGGCCGCGCCAAGCGCACACGCCCCTCCCTGCGCCAGGCACGTGCCTCCGCCACCGAGAAGTACAGTGCGAACAGCAACAGGCTCACCTGCGGAGGTCAAGACCTGAGTGGGCGGTGTCAGGGGGCGCTGTGCCCCGGGGCGGGGCTAGGGTGTGGGCGGCGTCAGAGTGCGCTGGGGGCGGGGCCGGGGGCGGAGCTTACCGTGGTGAGCAGAGGCAATGAGAGGCCTGAGCTCAGGCGCCGCAGCGCAAACGGACGGACGCTGAGGGAGGCCACAGCGTGTCCCGCCACGGGGAACTCGAGGCGCAGTGTGACGGCGGCGTGCAGTCCCACGGCCGGGCTGTAGCGTGTGAGCTCCACGAACACTGCGCGGCTCCTTCTCAGACGGCAGGGGTGAGGAACAGGACAAGGGAGGGGTGAGAGGGCAGGAACCTCCGAGGCAGGGCCTCTGGTGTCCTGGGGGGGGGGGGGCGGTATGTGTGGACTGGGGAGGAAGTGCAGTGACAGATCTGGAGCGGCAAAGCTGGGGAGTGGGAGTAAACTGGGATCTCTGATGAGGGGACCAGGGTTGAGTGGGCCGCAGCAGAGCGAGGCAGCCTGTCTCATGAGCGCCTACCTATTGTCGATCCAGTTGTGCAGCTGCAGAAAGCCCAGCTGCTCGCGGCTCTCCTCCAGGCTCAGCCCCAGCTCCTGCACGTAGCCCCCGCTGTCGTACACAGAGCAGTAGCCCCAGTACCAGACGCTGCAAGTGAGGGGCAGTGTGAGACAGCCCCGCCCTGCAGCAACCTGGGAGCCATGCTGGCTGGATGAGGGGCTCCTCTGGAGAACACCCCAGCCCCTCCTGTGCTCACCCCAGCGCGTCTGGCGCAGAGTAGGCCCACATCTCAGAGCCGTTATGGGCAGCACTCCCCCAGCCAACGCCATAGTCGCTGGTGCTGAAGCCACCTGAAGCTGCTGAGCACGTGTGCGCCCCTGAGTCTGGCCGGTCTGGGCAGAGAGCTGAAATCAGAGGGCGGGGATTGAGCATGACCCAAACAGGATAGCTTACTGCTGACCAGCTCCACATGCTCTCCCCTGAAACCCTCCCAGTAACCTGAAGGTAGATGTCCTGGTCTCACTGACTGATAAGGAAAACGAATCAGGGAGAGGGTAAGGTCACACAGCTAGGGAGTTGAATCAAAACCCTGCCAAAGGCTTCTCTTTGGAAACGAGCAGGGACAAGTGCCAGAGTGGCCCCCAGCTCACCTTCCTTCAGCCGCACCTGCCGCAACCGTGGGGGCCCCAGCTCTGGGCTGGACTGGTTCCCATGGACGTAGGGGAGCAGCACATGGGACATCCACGGCCAGAACTCATCAGACCTGCCCACACCAGAAACAAGTCACATGCTTCGCCCCTCAGCTCCCCGTGCTGCCAGGGGTCAGAGGTCCAGGGAGCACAACTACTGCAAGCCTGGCCCAGCCCAGAGGCTGTCAGTGCATCAGAGGGGATGAGGCATGACCCGTTTCCTTAACCTTGGCCTATTGTCGTTTGGGGAAAGATAACTCTTATGGGCTGTCCTGGGTGCCGTAGCACGTTCAGCAGTATCTCTGGTCACTACCCATTGCCAGCAGCACCCACTTCAGTCGTGATAACCAAAAATGTGTCAAGACCCTTCCCAATGTCCCTTGGGGGCTGAGCTGGACCAAGGGCAGGATCACGGTGAACCCTGGTTGGCATCAGCACCACCCGGGCCCAGCAAACAGATGTGTACATGCGTCCAGGGTGTCCGTACCGGGTGATGGCCAGGAAGGCCTGGCTATCTAGCTCCTGCCTGATGGCACTTTGCAGGCGGTAGGCGTGGCTGTGGCACGAGGCGTCCCCATAGTTGGCCAGCAGTGTCACCAGCAGGAAGAGCATGTACACCAGGAGGCTCTGGGGGACAGGGACGGCCTCGTGTCAGCCAATCCCCGCCCAGCTGCCGTAACGGCGAGGTTCTGGGCAGCCAACCGCCCACGGCCAGGGCGCCCAGCACCGAGAAGGGCAGCACAGACACCCCACCTGGGGGCAGACACATGATCCACGGAAGGCCAGGGAAGCCACACCTAGGGCCCTGCCAGAACAGGCAGAAGCAGGCACTGGAGGTGGGTACAAGGGGCAGAGCAAGGACTAGGGGCATCAGGAGTTGGGGTGAAGGGAGGGAGATGGACCCAGGCTGCAGAGCCCTAGGGCCTTTGGAGAGGAAGGGGTGCATGTGAGGTTTTTGAGAAGAGGCTGCACTGGCCAAGAGGCAAAGAGGGTGGGCAGGCACTGGCCACGACAGCCTGACTCACCCGCAGCATTTTGTGTAGCCTCTTGACTTTTCGGGCTTCCTCCTTTGCCAGAAAGAGCGCAAAGCCGTGTGGGGGCCGCACACGGGGCACACGCTCGCTCACAGGTGTCACCGCCGGGCTCTCCACCAGGGTGTCATCCTCATCAGGGTGCAGCCGCTTGGCCACCAGGGAGAAGTACAGGGCTTCCAGCAGAACCTGAGCCAGGGGAGGCATCAGAGAGGCCCACGCGTGCCAGAGGCTGGCAGCCTGGCCCCCGCATCCCACTCACCTTGAGCGGCTCCCAGCCGAGGAACGAGGCCAGGAAGCTGGAGCTGCTTGAGAGGAGCCACATGACACTCACGCCAGGGGGGAAGCTGGCACCGACCCACCCCGAGACTCCCACGGCCACAGCCACCAGCAGCAGGCTGAGCCCATGGGCCAGGGGTGCACACCAGGCCGGCAGCAGTCGCTTCCGCAGGCCCTCCACCAGCCCTGGGGAGGCAGAGACAGGTGGTGACCGGGGGCCCAGAGGGAGGGCAGGGAGGGGCATCCTGGGGACACGGCGCACCTGTCCTGGCGAGCTTTGCTGACGGGGGCTGCTCCCACATCGGGCCTGGGCTGGGGAGGCCGCTCTCCCCCCGTCTCCGCAGCATCAGCATCTCCATCTTCTCCCCAGGAGCGCTGGACCTGAGGCACAGGAGGGGAGCAGCGGACACTCACCTGGCGGCCCACACACTGTCCACCTCATCTGAGGCAGTTCCTTGAGCTTCGCTGGGCCTTGCCCCTCACTCCCGCCCCAGGTCCTGACAGACTGTCTCTAAACCCCTCACTTCCTGCTTACTCCATCAGCCTTGCCCCATAACTCTGTGACCTGTCCTGCCACCACTCCAGCAGCCATCGCCTTTACAGCAGGACTCCAGCAGCGTCCCCCTGCCCGCTCTTCACACCAGCAAACCACGACTGGCTTCCAGTGAGCACTGCCCACGCCTCGGGCCTTCCTCCTCCGCCTCCCGCTGCTCACGGTGCACAGAGAGCCCTGTGCTCGTGCACCTTTGTAACCTAACACTAACTTTTGAACGAGGACGTATGTTTTACAAATTCCAATAGTACACAGCACTCCATGGGACCCACACACTGCGTGTCTCTCATGGTGCCACCGGCCTTCCCAGCGCCAGAGCTGCTACCCTGGAGAGAGAATGAGAGGAAATGGGGAGAAAGAAGAAAGGGGGCGAGGGGGGCAGGACCGGGCAGGCACTTACTGAGCAGGCAGTGCACACACTCAGGGTGATGTCTGCACAGCTGTGCCGATTACAGAAACAGAAGAGAACAGGCCCCACAATCTCAGAACCTGCCTGCCACGGAGCTACCCTGAATATTTCTAGTTTATGCATCTCCTAGAGCAGTGGTCGGCAAACTCATGAGTCAACAGAGCCAAGTATCAACAGTACAACGATTGAAATTTCTTTTGAGAGCCACATTTTTTAAACTTAAACTATATAGGTAGGTACATTGTTATTAACTTAATTAGGGTACTCCTAAGGCTTAGGAAGAGCCACACTCAAGGGACCAAAGAGCCGCATGTGGCTCGCAAACCGCAGTTTGCCGACCACGGTCCTAGAGGATCAAAGGCAACATTGTCCAGGGGAGTGGGAGATCACAGAGGATAGCAGTGCCAAATTCTCCTTATAAAAGTAGCATAAACTATTTGTAGAAAGTAGGTTAATAATAAATAGAGAACAGAAAAGACAAGGTGGAGCGACAGGGAGTAGACATGTCCCACATGAAGTGTGAGGACCAGGAGCCACAGCCGTTGGAGGAGAGCAAGGAGCAGCAGCAGGACACGGAGGCCGCCAAGAGGAAGCTGGTGGGGCAGCCAGAAGTCGGGTTCCTAGCCCTATTGCCGCCTCCAGGGCCAGTCGCCAGCTGCTGCTGATGGATGGGAAGTCAGGACCCTCCTTTTCCTCTCTGGGCTTGAGCATCAAGATCCTGAAGGAGAGGGCCCAGGAGCTGATCGCAAACATCAACCAGAGCAGGCAGGACCATGCACTCACGACCAACTTCAGGCACAGCCTCAAGATCAAGGTTTTGGACCTGACAGCAGCTGGAGGAGAGGATGCATCAGCTTTATAATTACAAGATCATTCAGGAAAGGTTCCAAGAGTTCACCCAGAAAAGGGCCAAGATCAGCCATTTGGAAACAGAACTCAGACACTGTGGAGACCATGTACGGAGACCTGAGACCTGTGTGTCCAGGTAGAGCTCCTGCTTTGGATGAAAACAAGCCCATGAAGATGGTGAATGCTGACAGCTTCTGAGTCACCTCTCAATGACCGACACCGAGAAGGCTCCGAGGCCACCACTCCAGCCACTTAGAAAGCTCTACAGTGATCTCAGCGCGCGCACACACACACACACACACACACACACACACCCCACACACAAAGGCAGCGAGTCCAGCCACCGCCATGGGCCCAGCTGTGGTGTCCCCAACATGTGGCAAATTTACCCCACCCCAGCCCTACACAGTTCATTAAACATTTGAATTTCGAAAGAGAGAGAACAGATACTTAATACCTGCATTTCCATCATGACAGGAGCAGTATTGTTACAGTTATTTCTAATCCCTTTTCTATATGTTCATGTTTATATTTCACATGTGTGTATAAACATGTATCAAATCATATAGTGGATATAACATAGAATACACACAAATTTACATTCAACTCTAAGCCGCATGACAGCCAGCAAAGACTATGTTTGCTGTTGGATAGCATTCACCGATTTCTTCAGTCACCCAACAAGTATGTCGATGCCCTAGAAATATAGGCACTATTCTAAGCACTGAGTGAAAAGAACAAAGTGCATAAACTTACAATGTGCACATAGTAGTGGGGGAAGCAAACATTAAGCATGAACATTGCTTACTGTATGGGAAGCAGGGGAGGGGACCGAGGCCTACCTATGTGTGTGTGTGCGTGCACACGCATGTGCACACGTGCATGGGTCCATGTTATTGCACCTTACTGCCTTTGCTTAAGGCAGGAAGGAAGGTTCTGGTTAGGCAGCTTTGAGTGAAGACCTGAAGGAAGTAGACCATGAAGCTCTTGTCTTGGGGAGGAGCAGGCTAGGCAGAGGGAGCAGCAGAAACAAAAGATGGAGGCGGAAGAGTGAGGGATGTTGTAGCCGGAAGGAAGTGGGTAACAGAGGGAAGGTGGCAGGAAAGGACTTGGGAAGGTGTGGAGCCTGGCTGGGTACGGCTGTGAGGCACGTAAGGGGTGCACCCAGTCCTGGTGGGCACCTCCAAGTTGCCCCGATGACATTTCCCTCCTGGCATGACACCCCTACGTAGTTTCCTCCCAGGGAGAAACCAAGAGGACCTTGTGGAATGACAGTGTGTGACTAACGAGGCTGACCATCGAGGGAGCTGACCATCCACTCTGGGGACTGGCTGCCACGCTGTGGGGACGCTTGGGCAGCTCAATGGTGTGGTCCAGACGGAGAAGCTGAGGCCTCCCACCAACAGCCAGCACCAAGATGCCCGTCATCTGAGCTGTTTTAAGCCCGGAATTTTGGGGTAACCCATTATGCAGCCATAGCTAACCAGTGCCCAGGAAGGCCGTGACAGGGCCTGCCTCACGGAGCAGACTCTCTCTGGTGCCGATGGAGCACTCTGCTAAGGTGGCCCTGGAGTGGACCAGGCAGAAGATGACGCCTGGATGGAAGGGGCACGGGCAGGTGGAGAGAAGACTTGTGTGAAGAAGGATGCAGAAAGGAGTCAAGGATGAAGCTACAATTTTTGGCTGGGGGTGGCACTGTCTCAGGGGGGAAGTAAGTGCTCAGTGCTCAGTGCATGTTAAGTCTGTACTGCACACTAACTGTCCACGAGGAGAAGCTGTGGGCAGACGGTCGGTGTCTGAGCAGGGATCCGCAGGGGGTGTGCTGCTGCAGGTATTCGGGTATTTGGGGTGGTCAGCTTACAATTACTACCCTAGAATCTCCCTATGTTACAGTTTTTAATCAACTGGCATTTCTTCATAAAAATGCCATCATGTCATGGTTATCTGTCTTCATAAAATGACTGGAGAAACTTTCCCTTTTTCTCTGTGTTCTGGGACCATTTGTGCATCTCAGTAATTTTTGGTTGCTTGAAATTAGAAAAGTTAAAGGAATAGAAATATAGATATTAAAATAAATACGAGAAAAGAAGCAAAGTGCCTGACCAGTGTTTCTCAGTGGTTAGAGCACCAGCCTGCGCACTCAAGGATCCCAGGTTCGATTCCCAGTCAAGGGCACGTATCTGATTTGCAGGTTCGATCCCCAGCCCTGGTCGGGCCGTGTGCAGGAGGCAACCAATCGATGTGTCTCTCTCACATCAATGTTTCTCTCTTTCCCTCCCTCCCTCTTCCCTTCCACTCTCTCTAAAAAGCAATGAAAAAGATATCCTTGGGTAAGGGTTAACGACAACAACAAAAAGTAGCAGTGAGTTCCTAGTGAATCTTGTTACTAAATTGGAAACAAGTCGTCTCAAAAGAAAAAAATGGGACATTTAAAAACCTGACGATTCTTATCACAGCCACCCTTTCTGTTCCTCAAATGTCCCTCCTCCTGCTATACTAAAGGGAACATTTGCTGGGCCACGGCTGACCCCAGGAAGTCCTTTCAACCAATGAGGGACTCAGAGGTCAAACGTTACCCCAGCTCCACACTGGGGCCATGGGGCTGGACAACATGAGGCCAGTCCATGCAGGAAGCAGGGCTTCTTGGCCTGGGTCCCCTTCACATGCCTCCACCCCCCAGGAGCTGGGCACTCACAGGCCGGTGAGTAGATCCGTTTCTACTTGAGTGTCCTGGGTGGGGGCCAGGCTGCTGACCCCTTCAGCCAGGATCTGCCGGATCAGGTCTTCATCTAAAGAAAGCAGGATGTGTCATCAGGGAGCTGGGCTCCTCCCACCCTGAGCCCTAGAACCCTCCTGGGAGAACTTATGGGTGTCTCCCATTCCTGCTCACCTGAAGCTGAGAAGTATTTGGCAGGTGAGGAGGGGCTGACCAGGGAGAGACTGTCCTCCTCAGGGCCCAGAATGTGGCCCATCCGACCCCGTGCCAGCCGCTGCAGGGTGCTGCCCATGATGGACGGGTCACTCAGCAAGTCTGGCCAACTGAGCGTGCCTTCGCTGGATGGCCAGCACACTAGGCTATAGATGACACAGGTCAGCAGGGGGAGCCCAAGGAAACACGTCTGCACATCCAGTCACACACGGATACATGGGGCTTCTGAGCAAACACCCCCCTGGAACAGTGTGTGACAACACAAAGGGCCAACAAACACTGGACGAGGACACACGACAGCACATGCAGCCCAGGTAACCATGACATGGCACACACGCAGCCCAGATACCCATGACATGGCACACATGCAGCCCAGATACCCATGACATGGCACACACTCAGCCCAGATAACCATGACATGGCACACATGCAGCCCAGGTAACCATGACATGGCACACACGCAGCCCAGATACCCATGGCATGGCACACATGCAGCCCAGATACCCATGACATGGCACACACGCAGCCCAGATACCCATGGCATGGCACACATGCAGCCCAGATACCCATGACATGGCACACACGCAGCCCAGGTAACCATGACATGGCACACATGCAGCCCAGACACCCATGACATGGCACACACGCAGCCCAGGTAACCATGACATGGCACACATGCAGCCCAGGTAACCATGACATGGCACACACGCAGCCCAGGTAACCATGACATGGCACATGCAGCTGACCTACACCAAGGTCCACATTTTCTCTAGGGGCCCCCACCTTTTGGAATCGTCCAGAAATAAGTCACTTTTCATTTGTCCAGCAAAGGCCTATTGAAAAGTACAGACAGAGCCTCAGACTCCAAGCTGCCCAGAGGCAGTGAGACCCACCCAACCCAGGCAGGGCCCGTCGGGAGCCCTCACCTCAGCACGGAGCCCAGGGAAGGTGAGGAAGGAGCTGTCCAGCACAGAGGAGTCCAGGTAGCTGTCCATGTCCAGGACCTGCTGCCCTGTGGGTGTGGGGTTTGGGGCCCCAGCCACCTGCAGGGAGAGGCAGGTAGTCAGCAGGGGCAGTTCTAGCTCCTATTTCAGGGAGACATGCAACCTCCTAAGCAGGCGGAGTCTAGACTAGTTTTTCCTAGAGAATGTTCTAGAATGACGCACACATTCTATACCTGCACTGTCACCGCAGCCTAAGCATGTCAAACTCGCAACTCATCAACGAATATTTTTGCGGCCCAGCCATTATAACAGCATATAAGAAACGTCTTAATAAAAATTTCGTAACTTAATTTTTACAATATCCTGTTATACATAATTATTAATAATGAACTACAATATTAGCTAATGACTGTTTACTGTAATTGTGTTGCAGCCATTTCCCTTACACGCAGGCACACCATTTCTCTCCACTAATACTAGCAGCGAATATTTTAGCAGCTGATTGCCACGTCATTAGTCTTGTACTGACTTGTTTGGTGTGTGCAATAGGAAATGTATCGCTTTTGGAGAACAAGAAAAATAGGTTTATTTGCATTTTGCTTATTAATTTGTGCAGTTATTCAGTGTCTGGTAAGTTAATGTTCAAGAAAAAATATTAATTTTTATTAAGATGTTCTATTATTTTGTGTTAATGACTACTCATTTATTTCAGCCCTTTGTATTCAGCATGTATCGAAATAAACCTGTTTCCATGAAAATTGAAGCTTTTGTTTTTTTGCGGCCCACATAAACTTAAACCTTGTTTATTTGGCCCGTGTTAGCCTTTGAGTTTGACATGCTTGCAGTAACCACTACAGAGCACTTCAAATGTGGCTGGAGCAACTGAGGAACCAAGGTGTTGATCCTATCCTATATAATAAAAGGCTAATATGCAAATTGTCCCCTCAACCAGTAGTTCAACCAGGGGGTGGGGGCCGCAGGCAGCTGGCCGGCCAGTTTGGCCCCAATTGGGGAGGGCCAGCCAGACCCCACCTGTGCATGAATTTGTGCACCGGGCCTCTAGTTTAAATATAAACAGCTGCATATGGCTAATATCACTGTACTGGATTCCTGGGGAACATCTCTCTTGGTCATGTGTATGGTCCTCTTATGAGCTGCTGGATTTGATTTGCTATTTTGTTGAGGATTTTTGCCTGCATATTCCTAACGAGAGTGGTCTGTGGCGCCCTTGTCTGGCTGTGGTGTTAGGGCCATGCTGGCCTTGTGGGGTGAGTTAGGAAGTGCCCTTCTGCTTTTGAGCCTGGGAAGAACTGCTGATTCTTCTGTAACTGTTTGGTATAATCACCAGTGAGGCCATCTGGGCTTCTCTTCATAGGAGGTTTTAAATTCAACCTCTGTACTTGCTACATGTGTGCTCAGGTTTTCTATTTCTCCTTGAGGCAGTTTTGGTAGTTTGTCTTCCTAGGAACTTGTTTGTTTCTTCTGAGTTATCAGTCCTGTTAATTTCTGTGCTGTTGGTGGTGACATCCCCTCATTCATTCATCATTTCAACAACTGTATTTCTCCTTTCCTCCAGCTGAAGGCCTTGCTGATTTTCCCTCTTTAGCTGCCATGCTGGACAGCACAGCCCTCTGCACAGGCAATGAGGCTCTATTCTCCAGGCTCCGAGGTTCCCAGCCCACCTTGCTCCGGGACATCCGGAAGAGGAACAGGATAACCAGGTAGATGGGGTAGACAACCACACTGGACACTAGGCCAACGGCGATCGTGTCAACACTCAGCGGAATCAGACTGGACACAGGCCCCGAGCTATGTGGCAAGAGAGGAGAGACCTGGCTAGGTTAGGCCGGGAGGGGCAGAGGGGTTGGGCAGAGGGAGTACATCTGAACCCCCAAGGCACCCACCTGTAGGCAGTGTCTCCCACGACCCCATACCACACCGCATTGGCACCCAGGAACAGGCAGATGAGGAGAACACAGCAGGTGGCCCGCTGGACGCGAGTGAAGCGGCTTCGTGGCGGCCGGTCCCATATGGAGAGCCAGATGTGCTTGTCAAAAAAGCCACGCTGGAGCTCAGCCACCAGGAGGCGCTGGAACCGCCGAAGGGCTGCGTCACCTAGAGAAAGGGCACAGATGGGGTTCCAGGAGGCCAGAGGGCTGGCTCCTCCTCCAGCCTCAGGGTGCGACAGGGGTAGCAGGCCCTTACTCGCTGCCAGCACCTCCTTCTCCACCAGGCCCCCATTAGCCTCAGTCTCCACTGACAGCCAGTCGTTGACCAAGAAGAAAGTGCTGCGGGCAGTCTGCAGATCCCTGACGATGACGTGCTGCAGGAACCAGGCGGGACTGAGCCCTGCAGAGGGGGCAGGAGCTGGGTCAGGGCGGCAGAGTGCCAGTCGGGAAGGGGAGAGGGGCAGGAGCAGGTGCCCACTCAGACCTTTGTTGTCGTGCCACACTCGGATCTTCCACACACTGCCCAGGCTGTGCGGGGTGGCAATCTGGAAGATGTCCAAACTATTGCGGTGAAAGGCTCTGTCCCCATCCAGGTGCCGGTGGCCACTCCGGCTGTCCGCCCCATACAGCATGATGCCCACATGTGCCGTGGTGCCTGGGGATGGAAGGGGAGGCGGTAGGACTCTAGGTTTGCTGCCCACCAGCCGATTTTTCCTGTCTTCCTTCATTCAAGCATAGGCAGTCCTCACTCTGCTCAGCTCTTACGAACACAAATCTCAGTTACCTAATTTGTTAAGTAAACACAGCCCCAATGACATGATTCATATGTTAGATATGACGGTATGTTAACTGTAACTGTGTGAAATATAAACTTGGCTGCTAGCTCTTCAGTCCACTGTGTAAATAAGGGATGCACAGCCTGATCAGTGGCCATCGCTCACTTCTCCCAAAGCCGCTGATGACGGTCACGGTGCGTCTTTCAGTTCCCACAGACCCCCCAGTGTGTAACGGTGCTGCCTCCTGGTCTCCCCAAAAGGAAGCCACCTGTGTTTTACAAGAATGAGCCATCAAAGCAGGGCACTGGCCGGCAAAGAGGAAAGTACAGCAAATAAATGAAAAACGGTAATGCTGGATGTCAACTCTGAATCCAAGGTAAATGAACCACTGAAGCAGCAGCCATGGGAGTGCGGACCCTGCCGGAGGCTCTAGAAAGGCCGTCAGCGACAAACTTTCCAGCATAAATAAGGACAGTGGCTGTGACAAAATGGACAATGATGTTACAGAACAAATATGGGGGCAAAAACTTCATATTAAAAGAACTCTCCAAGGTATTTCATGATATGGAGAGTGCAAACGAGAAATGTTAGGTTCAGTGGTTCTCAACCTGTGGGTCGTGACCCCTTTGGCGGTCGAACGACCCTTTCACAGGGGTCGCCTAAGACCATCCTGCATAGCAGATATTTACATTACGATTCATAACAGTAGCAACATTACAGTTTTGAAGTAGCAACGAAAATAATTTTATGGTTGGGTCACAACATGAGGAACTGTATTTAAAGGGCCAGAAGGTTGAGAACCACTGTGTTAGACTATGGCCTTTCACCAGGGCACAGAAAGATGGTCACTCCATATTGTGAGTTACATGAGAAAATACTGTTAAACTAGTCTTGGTAAGTTTTTCACAAAGAAATAAAACACTTTAATTCCCAGTGTGTCTGTTTTAAGTATGCTGTACTAACTAAATGTTTCAAGTTATACTGTACTGTTTATAACCAATGGTTTTTACCATCTTGGAAATAATCTTTATTGTTTTCACAATGATTTATTATCATTTAATAATCATTTTCTGCCCTGGCTGGTGTGCTAAGTGGTTAGAGCATCAGCCTGCAGACCGCAGGGTCACGGGTTCAATTCCTGGTCAAGGGCATGTACCTGGGTTGCAGGTTCATTCTCTGGCCCTAGTCAGGGCGCATGCAGGAGGCAACCAATTGATGTGTTTCTCTTTCTCCCCTTCCCTCCCTCTCTAAAAAAAAAGTCAATGGAAAAATATCCTCAGGTGAGGATTAACAAAAAAATAACAACAAAATAATTTCCTCTTCGGATCACTGAGCTTGCTTTCACATGCCCTGCGCTCACTAGCAGGTCCTGTGTGACCGGACAAAGCAGGACCATCCAGGCCGACAGCACCTGCTGCACAGAGACTGTCCTCCTTCTCAGGAAGGGTGACAACCTGTCCACAGGTCACAGCGTTATGTCAAGTGAGCCCTGTTCTGTCATCTATGAGGACGATCGCTATCAAAGAAAGTGGCCTCCCCTCACCTGAGCCTCGGCCCCAGCCAGTCTTGACCAGGATCTCGTACTTGAAGCGGCCCCCCTTCCCACAGAAAGGGATGACGCGGACCCGGCTAACGTCGAGCTGGTCCAGCTTACGGAGGATCACAGCCGTCACCACGTAGGTCACCAGGCACATGGCACACGTCAGCAGGACGACGTAGTTCACGTCCAAGGCCGGCTCCTGGGGAGACAGAGCCGTCAGGCGCGGGAAGCATGGCCCCTGCCTCACAGTCTCAGGATGGAGCTGGGCCCACACTGCTCAGGACCATGGCCCCACTCACAGGGAAGATGAAGTGGACGTGGCTGGGGGGCACGAAGAGGCTGGCTCCGAAGGCCGTGAGGTGGCGGGTGAGGCAGACAGCCTGGCTGGGCGAGGTCTCCTCCAGGGGCACCAGCCCCTCCGTCCGCCACATCATCTCCTTCTCACTGAAGTACTGGCACAGGGACGTGTAGAGGCCCACAGACACTTCCAGCGCAGACCAGCGGAAGTGGCTGGTCAGGTTCAGGTAGTAACTCCCGCCCAGGTCTCGGGTCCTGTAGAAGCAGGGGGATGTCACAGCCACACCCTGCCCGCCCCTGGTCTCACGTCACCGCAGTATTCTCAGCCACAGCCACGCTCACCATTCACGGCCAGGCCTGGCCACACCCCAGTCACTCTGCTGCACACCTGCTCCCGCAGGGAGCCCACGCGACCTTGGCACATACGGTTCTCATCGTGTCCAGCTCGCCCACCCCTGACACCGAGTCCTGGTCCGGTTTGTCAGACCCAGTGGCCCAGCATGTAGGCCACTCCCGGTCCTCACCCAGGAGCGATGAAAAAGGTGTAGGGCCTGTGGTCCTTGCCCACCAGCGCCTCCAGGCTGATCTTCCTGCTGGCCGAGCAGTTGTGCTCATTGGGCCAGGGCGCCGAGTGCAGGTAGACAGCCAGGTAGGGCTCAGGCTCCTCAGACAGGTAGTGCTCTGGGGGCGGCATGTATAGGGTCAGATGACCACCCACCTGGGCGACACCCCCGAGAGCCCCTGAACCCTCCCTCCTGAATGGCTAGAGGAACTCCGTGCGGGGAAACGGCTCCTGCTCCTCCCTGGCTCCCCCGCAGCCCACTGCCCGGCCCATGGCACCCACCGTTCAGCACCGTGTAGGTGAGCTGTAGGTGTAGCCCGGCCTCAGGTTTGCTGTGGTTGGGGGTGACCACTGCACTGACCGAGGCCCGGGGCGGGACGACGGCGGAACCAGCAGGGATGCGGTGGACCCGGGCAGCCTGGTCAGGGCTGTTGGGCACCTTCACGGTGATGGCACGCTCCGAGGCCAGCTGCCCAATGGGGATCTGGGTGCCAGCCTGCGTCTGGAAGGCCATAGATGCCACCTTGGTGGAGACGGTGTAGTTGCTTATGTAGCCAAAGGGAAAGGGGTTGGAGTCAACAAGGAAGATGAGCTGCACCACGTCGCTGAGGTTGGACAGAGCCCCACTGAAGGCGGCAGGGATGGAGAAGTGGCAGCCGGGGCCCGAGGCATTGCCCTGGCACAGCAGGCTCAGTGGGTCTGAGCGCTTGCCCTGTGCCACAATCTCCTCGCCCACCAGGGTCAGGGGCTCCTCATTGAGCACTCGGGAGCGCATGAGGATGCACATGAGGGCTGACGACAGGTTATAGGCCCTGGATGCCACCCTCAGTGCAGGCGGCTCAGCCCCCAGCTCTGAGGGCTGCAGGTCCTGCACGTTTGAGTTGGACAGGTGGATGAGGTCGCCTGTGGATGGAGGAGACATGGGGGGTGAGGTTGGGAGGAGAGGTGGGAGGGTTGGGGGACAGGTTGGTAGGAAGAACTGTGACAGGGAAGAAGGGTTGGGGGAGAGAAATGGAGCAGCGGCAGGGGGGCAGAAAGGTGGAGGAATGGAGGAGTCCCATGTGGTCCCCGGCCCCAGCCCACACCTGTGATGTTGAGGATGCTGTCGGCAATGGCGGTGGGTGTCCCAGTGCCCGCGGTGGTCTCGGCCTGCAGGACGCGCATCATGGCCTCCAGCTTGTGCAGTGTCTTCTGTAGGCATGGGCGGCACACAGGCTCCCTGCTGGCCACCTGTAGGGAACCCAGGCCATGTCCAGCCTCGCTCCAGCCTGGTAGCTCCCTCTTAAGCTCCTGGCCCAGCTTAACTCCATCACATTCACTGTGATTCTGGGGTGACCTCCATGACCACAGCCTGTTTGTTTCCATCGGGTCTCTCCAAACCACCCCAAACACAGCTTCCCCCACATGCCTCCCTGTTGAGAGCCTTCCTGGGGCTCCTCCCTACCTACAGCAAAACCCAAGGTAATATGGCCCTACTGGCCACCCCAGCCACACAAATAGCCACAAAGGCCACATGGCAGACAGGGAGACTCCCAGAAGGCTCTTTGCTCCTCTGCTAAGGACTCTGTAGCAACCCTGGCACTTGAGGTACAGTGCCCCACACCCCATCAAGATGTGGCCCAGCCCAGCAGCTCCCGGTTCCTAGGCGAGGTGGCGGGCAGCCTCTCGGGGCTGGAGAAGCGTGTCAGCCCTCTCCATACCTGGGCTGCTCCTTTGCCCGGGGCCACCCTGCAGGATCATCCTGGGGGGCACCTATGGCTCATGCTGGGCTCCCCCAGGAAGGGCACACGGCCGGCCAGACGCTTGGGTAGGGAGGCCCAGTGCTGCCCAAGAGCCCGGGTCCCATCCTACCATGCACTGGGCCAGCACGGCTGCGATCTGCTGGATGTCGTCCACGGTGTTGACCCGCAGGGAGACCAGGGTCTCTGTGATATTCTTGCGTATCTCGGCTTGCAGCTGCCACCTTAAGTCTGGCTCTGCCACCGTGGCCAGGGTCTGCTCGTACTGTGGGTGGTGGGCACAAGGCAGCTATCAGTGGACAACAGGGAGCCATGTTGGTGGGCACAGTGCAGACCATCTCAGGTGCTGCACACTGTGGGCAGTGACTCAAACCCTGCTTCTTCAAGGGCCCTCCTGAGGTCTGGGGCGCACGAAGAGGCAAGGCAGGGGAATCTGACACTGGGGAGGGTCCCAGGAAGGGACCATCGGTGAAGGCACTCAGCCCCCTGCTGAGAGGAGAAGCCATTTTAAGGAGGTTAGGGACTTTGTCTGTCGGGAGCCAGGGACAAGCCCTTTGCAAGAATTCGAGGCTCCACTCAGAAGTACTGCTCTGGCCCAGCACCCAACAGCTGAGGGCAAATGCCCCAGCCCCAGAACTGACCTCGTTGAGCACAGTGATAAGGGCCAGTGAGTATTCGATGACATGCTGGGGGTCAGCCTGTCTCAGCAGCCTGGGCAGCATACTCTCCGTGAGGCTGTGCAGCCAGGGGGTGAGCTCTGGGGGGCCGCCCAGGGGGTCACCTGGGGGCTCTGGCAGGGTGATGGCCAGAGACCTGCACACAGAGGTCATAGGTGAACAGGCAGCAGCCCCTGCTCCCATCCCCCAGGCCCTGCTCCCAGGGGCCCTGCTCACCTGTTGAGGGCGACCACAGCAGCACCCAGCTGGTCCTGCACCACCACAGCCAGGCCCACCTCAAAGTGGGGTGCGAAACCGGGTGGCAGCACAGCCCCATAGGTGGAGAGACTGCCCTTGTACACACAGAACTCCTCACAGTGGCCCTGGCGGCAGCGCTGCAGCAGCAGGGCGTACACGAGGGGGGCACCCGCATCCTCTGCATCCCGCCAGCCTGCGGGCCACAAGAGTCACCTCAGCCGCTCCTTGCAGGCCTCCCTGGGCATCACCGTGGCCTCCCGCCTCCCTCCCAGCCGCACTCACCTGTGCACTCGAAGTGCACCTTGGTGGTGAGAGCATGCACGGCATCCAGTGGGAAGAGGTGGCAGGAACCCCCCAGCGGAGGACGGTTGGGGGAGAGGCGGATGGAAGCGCAGCCCTCCTCCTCGCCAGAGCGGCCCAGCACCGTGAGTGTGAACGTGTAGCCCTCACCGTCCCGCAGCACACCGCGCCGTACCACCAGCCGCATGCCCGTGCTGCCTGTGGAGGTGGTTGTCTCATCCAGCACCAGCGTCTTGTTGCTGAAGGTGCGAGCAGCCCAGAGCTGTGGGTGTAGAAGGGCACTCAGCGCAGGATGGGGGCTGCTGAGCCCTCAGGGCTTGGACACGTCACCACCTAAGCACTGACCCTACACCCAGCCCTGCCCACCCCAGGCCCACCCAGCTCACCCCGCGCTTGGAGCCCTCACTGCAGTTGTCACAGTGGCCCTCCAAGTAAACGTAGGAGCTGCGGCTCACTGCATACACCCCCTGCGCCTTGCAGGACACGCACTCCAAGGACACTATGGGCACCCGGCCACTCCGGATCAGCACCTGGAGATGGGGAGGGGTGACAGGAACACCAGGCCCTGAGATAAGGGCCTCTGCTTCTGAGGCCCAGACCCCAAGTCTGCCCAGGTCAGCGGGGTGGTTGGGCCCAGGAGAAGGGCCTCTTCCTCTGCACATGCTGTTGTCCCAAATGGGGAAGCTCCCCTCTAGGCCCCAAGTCCAAGTTCCCAAAGGACAGTGAGCTTGGCCCTCACCCAGGGCATTCATTGGGTTTTGTGTCTTCCAATTTGGGAGCGGGGACCATCTACAGGAGCAGAGACCATGCTGGGCTTATTTTCTGCAGCATCTAGTGCCTATCTTGGGCCTGGCACACAGGACGCACCTGATATGTGCTCACATATGAAGGCACACAGGAAGGAGGACAGCTGTGTTCTACACAGCCCCTCCTGAGGTTCCTGCTGTCCTGGGGGGCGGGGTCCACCTCTGACAGCCCAGCTGGGCTGGACCCTGCTCGGAGCGCCTACCTTCCCAGACACTCCCGAGGCAGGCCGTCCGGGAGAGGCCTGGCCCTGGGGACAGACACCCCAACCCGGGCACCAGCAGGGCCTGGCACACCTGCTCCCATCAGCAGGCCCTGCTCAACAGCAGCTGGAGTGGCTGACAGGGGCTCACTGCACAGGGTCCTGACCTCCTGGCCAGTCCAGGGGAGGGGAGCAGAGCACATGCCCATGGAGAGGGAAGACAGGCCTCCCTGTCAGGAGACTAGGACAGCCTCTCTCAGTTTATTTTTCACAAATCACAAGAGCTGTACGGCTCCTCTAAGGTTTGGAAGGAAATAATGCTGAAGCAGCTAGAAGTACTAAACATAGAACACCTTAAAGGGCGTTTGGTGCTATCCGTAGGAGGCAGCCCTGTGCACTCAGCCTTCCTGGCAGCCCTTCCTCTCCCCCACTCCCCCCCCCCCCCCGAATGCAGGCCTCTGGCTCCACTTTCCTGGGCTAAGACCAAGGGCAGGTGGCACCCACCGTCTGGTTGGTGGCCTCCTCCTTCCGGCCAGCCTTCCACACAGTCAGATTGAAGGTGTACTCCACGCCGGCTTGCAGACGCTCCCGAGGGATGGTGACTATGCTGTTTCCGCGGGGCCCGAAGTTCAGCACACACCCACCAGTCTCGCTCTGTGGCCAAGAACAGGGGTGGTGAGACCCTGGACCCCCCCCAAGCAGAGCCGGACCCGGAGGACAGCTGGGGACACCCCTCCCCCAGATGGGATCAAGCCCACCAGGACTCTGCCAGCAGATGAACCCTCCCCCCCCCGCTGGGCTCATTAGTGCAAACACCCGAGGGGACTGAAGGACGCCCCTTCCTCTGGCCCTGCCGAGAATCTGACCTGCGTTGAGGCCACACAGGCCCAGTGGAAGCTGAGCGGTGTCTGGTCGCCATCCTCCAGGTTGGGGTCATAGGACTTGCTCCCATCCAGCACCAGGTCCTGCACGTCTGACCACACTCGGTAGGAGCCTCCCTCAACAATGGGCACCAGGCGCTCCGGGGCTACTGTCACGTTGGCCTGGATGCTCTGCGACAGGGGTGTGTCCCCAAACGACACCACAAACACAAAGCAGTAGTGGCCCACAGGCAGCACCAGGCGAGGCACCACCAGCTGGGGCCGGCTCACGTCCACGCCAGGCAGGGACACACGGGCTGCGCGCCCAGGCCGCTGGCAGCTGGCGGCGCGGTACACCTCCCAGCGGTACTCCGTCTGGTAGCTGACACAGCCGCGCAGGTCAATGTGGGCCTCCAGGTAGTTGCGCTGGGAGCGCCGCATCAGCACCTGAGGGGGCAGGGCCACGTCCACCTTGGGCTCCCTGCAGGCCAGCACATGGACGGTAACTGTGGCCTGTGCCACAAAGAAGCTCACCAGGTTGGAGGCATTCACCTCCACGTGGTAGTCCCCAGGCTGCAGGTAGGAGTGCTCAGCCCAGGGATCCTCCGTGTCCTCTGCCGGGGCCCCATCCCCGAAGTCCCAGTGGTAGGCCACGCGCCGGGGGCTGGGGCTGGTGGCAGCCTCAAACCGGGCAGAGCGGTTGGTGAAGCAGCGGCCGCTGCGCAGCGCCACGTACTGGATGACATCCTGGACCTCAACCACCAGAGTTTGGTTCACACCGCCCAGCTCATTAAAGGCACGCACGTGGATCTCCAGGAGCCCCGCGGCCACAGGGGTGTAGGTGACCTCACGGCCTGACAGGATGACCAGCGAGTCCCCCTGGACCTTCTGTAAGGAGAAGTACCAAGCATAGGCAACACGAGACCCCCGCTGCACTCGGGCCGTGAAGTTCCTCTCAGTGCCTGTGGCGATGCCTGCTTCACAGCAGTTGGGCACCTGGAGCCCACCCACGGCCTCCAGCACCAGGATGCGTGCCTGCGCCTGCGCCCGGCTCACATGGTTCTCGGCCTGGATGCTCACTGTGTAGTCCCCAACCCGGGGGAAGCTGCGGGAAAAGTGAGGCCCTGGGAGCGCCTCGAGGCCAGCCCCCGCGACCTGCAAGTGGAAGCTGACGGCTGAACCGGAGGCCAGCAGGATCTGGAAGTGGACCAGCTGCCCAGGCTCCACCACCTTGCTGCTGGCCCACAGCACCAGGCCCACGACAGGCTCCTCCACCACGAGGCTGTGTGTGGCGATGAGCCAGCTGACTGCGTTGGAGGCATTGAGCTGGACAGAGAAGGTGCCAGCATCAGGGAAGGCCACAGTGACGTGCTGGCCGTGTCTGCTGCCACCTGGAACAGCCCAGCACCAGCTGACATTGGTGCCGGAAGCCACCTGCCCCCAGAAGGGCACAGTGGAGCCAGTCATCACAAAGCTTCCATCCAGCTCACTGGCCCTGATGCTGAGGCCACTCACAGGCACTTGCACGGCCAACTCAATGGTGGTGTTGGCCAAGCCCAGCTGGTTCTTGGCCGTGACTGTGACCAGGTATAGGCCGGGAGTGGGAAAGGTATGGGTTGTGGATGGCTCTGGGGTCTCCCAGCTCAGTCCTTCCTCCAGGGACCAGGAGTAAATGACATCACTGCCACCAGCCAGTTCGGCGCAGAAGGTGACACTCACGTTGACAGGGGCCGGGTTCGGGGAGGCAGCCACAGACAGCCACCCTACGGGCTCCACAAACTCTACGGTGCGGTTGGTCGAGGCACTGCCCAGCATGTTTGTGGCCCGCAGCTGGACGTGGTAGGTGCCAGCCTCAAGCACAGTGAGTGAGAAGGTTTTGCCGCTACCAACCAGGGTTGTGCCACTGTCCCGCTGGGCAGTCCAGCCATAGGAGATGTTGGTACCATCCCTGACCACAGCCTGTAGCTGAAGGGTGCTGTTGGTGGGGAAGCAGCAGCCGCCACCACCACCAGCCACCTGCAGCCCCTCAATGCGTTGCAGGACGTAGACAAAGATGCTATCCTGGGCAGCGCCCACCTCATTCTCAGCTGTGACGATGATGTTGAAGGTGCCCACAGAGCGAAAGGTGTAGGAGATAGTGGGGCCCCCAGGAATGGGTGTGCAACGGTCACAGAGCACCCAAGAGTAGCGCACGTCACTGCCCGCCTCCAGCGAGGTGCTGAAGCTCACGCTACCGTTCAGGGGCACCACCGTGCGGCTGGCATTGATACTGAGCCCCTGCACACGCCGCTGTACTGAGACGTTCAGCTGGGCCTCCCCGCGGCTCACCTCGTTCCAGCCGGCCACCCTGATGGTGAAGTGGCCTGTGCTGGTGTAGATGTGAGTGACCGAAGGGCCCTCCAGCCGTGCGCCGTCCCCAAGCTCCCACAGGTAGGTGACAGGGCGCCCGTGGCCCACAGTGGAGAACAGGTAAGGCTGCTGCAGCTCCAGCACACGGGACCCATTGACCCTGATGCCCGTGAGCTCCACGGGCTCCTGCACCTCCACGAGCGCTGAGTCGTTGGCAGCCGAGATGTTGTTGGACACAGTGACCGTCACCAGGTAGGAGCCTGCATCCCAATAGGTGAACGTGGCCTCGGGGGCCCCGACGCAGGGGGCATCCTCGGTGCCAAAGTCCCAGGTGTAGCGGTAGTGGAACGGGGGCCAGGCGTGGGCCACCAGCTGGGCCTTGTCTCCAAGCCGCACAAACTGCCTCTCAGGCAGCAGAGTGACGTTGCCCACCTCGGGCTCCACGCACACGCTGGTGAAGTAATGCGCCTTGTTCACACGGCTTGACAGGATGAGCACCAGGGGAAACGTGCCACTCTGTGTGAAGTTGTGAGTCACAGTCGGGTCCCCCCAGATGGTCGTGTTGGAGGAGCCATCCCCAAAGGTCCAGTCGAAGACGTAGTGGGCAGGGTTCCCCGTGACGTGGGCCGTGAGCCGGGCCTGCGGTTGCACCGGTATGCAGGCCACAGGGTCGATCCACAACACCTCCAGGACAAAGACCTGCATGGGCAGGCTCTGGGCTAGGTGGCCAGCGGGGCTAGACACGCCCACGGTCACCGTGTAGTTCCGAGCCTGCAAGTACACATGCTCCACTGCGGCCTCCGGGCCCGTGAGCACCGTGCCATCCCCCATGTCAAAAGTCCATGTGACATTGTCGCCCGACTCCAGGGCGGCGCTGACCACCACCGGCGTGCCCTGCTCCACAGCCGAGCTCAGGCTCACACGCAGGCCACGGAGCTCTTCAAAGACGCGGACATCAGTGCATGCCCCCGTGCTGCTCACTGTGTTGTTGACCTCTAGGCAGATGTGGTATGTACCCCTCGAGGTGTATATGTGGTTGACCATTGGCTGGTGATGTACCATGGCTGGGGAGCCATCCCCAAAGTCCCACGTGTACAGGATGCTCCCAGGCGAAGGCAGTGGGTGTGGGGAGAAGGTGACTGGCCGGCCAGCCACCAGGACAGGGCTGCCCACAGCCACAGCCACGGCAGGCAGAATGGCACGCACACTCACAGGCACCAGCTGCGTCAAGTTCTCGAAGGCGGTAGACACGAGCAGGGTCAAGTTGTACTCACCTGGGAGACAGGCCCGGAGTGGGAATGGCGCTGTGGCCACCATGCCGCCTGCTAGCACAATCCCTCCCTAACCCCATGAGGGCTGCTGTGCGCAGGAACCTCTCAGAAGGGCAGAGTAGGGCCGTGGTCAAAACGGAAAGAACACCCTTGGGTCCCACCCCCGGGGTCCTCACAGAGAGATGTGTGTCAGGTGCCATCAGCACGGAGCAAGACACGGGGCTACAGCAGAGCTGGGATGAGGAACAGACCGTCTCTGAGTAAGACTTCACTGGGGTTAACAGAGTGAGGCCAGTGCAAAGCAAGGATCGTGGGAACCCTGCTATTTACTTTGCATTCTGTGTATGAGGGTTCTGGAATTTTGAAAGTAACTAAACAGTAACCCTCCACCACTTCTCTCCAAAAAAAGGCTCAGAGAAGGACACAGGAGGGTCTAGTTTCCTATCAGCAAATTCAGTTCACAGGGATCAGTGACCTAGTCCACCCCTCACCCCTAGCCACCCCTCTTTCACCCTAGTAAGGCCCTGGGCCATCACCCCAAGCTACTTGAAAGGGGCTGCCCCTAGCAGGGCTTGCCCAGTGGGGGCCAGCAGGACTGTGGGCCCGCCCTCACCTGGGATGGTGTAGGTGTGAGTGGTGTTGTGCTCCACTAGCACCTGGGCCACCATGGGGTCTGGGACCTGGAAGGACTCGTCGTATGGAGGCTTGAACTGGCCGATCACCTGCTCCCCATCCCCGAAGGTCCACCTGCCGGGGCAGCAGGCAGGCAGTGAACATCTGGGAGGATGAGTGGGACAGGCTGGCCGCTCTCATAGGGGGCACCCTTGCCTGGCTATAGTCAGTCACTATTCTTGTACCTTCGTTCAGGGTACCACCCAGCCCTGCTGCAGCTCCCACCCCCTCCTAGATCCTATGTACCCATCACCTCCCAACAGATGAGGAGGGGACTGGGGAAAGGGTGCTGAGAAAGAACCTGGCACCCCTGCTACCTGCTGGGCCCAGTGCACTCACAGAAAGGCCACCTCCACGGCCGAGTCCACTAGCACATCAGCCGCCAGCTCCAGCGTGGCATTGGGGGGCAGCACCGGTGGCACTGCAGACACCCGCAGGCCCCGCATCTTATGCATCCGCTCCACGGTGACGTTGTAGTTTACAGTGACATTGCTCACATGGTTGGTGGCTGTCAGCTGCGGAGACAGGTGGTGGTGTTCAGGTAGCCAGCAGGCACTCACCCCCAGCTACCACAGGGTGGGCAGGAGCAACGCGGAACAGAAACAGAAGGCAAGGGCGAGCACTAGTCATCCGCCCGCCCGCCCGCAGCCTTTCCTGCGCCCTTCACCCACCGAGAGCTTGAAAACCGCGGCGCTCTGGTAGATGACGTTGAAGACCACATTGTGAAAAGTCAACGACTGCTTGTCATCGATGGTCCAGCGGAAGACCACGTCTGAGCCGGCCTCCACCACGGGGCTGTACCTCTGAGGAAAGGGCACAGCGTCAGCCCACGGTGACCCTGCCCCAGCACAGGGTCTTTGGAGAACCAACTCTGCCCTCAGCCCACGTCTACCATCCTGGACACACCTCCCTGTGGGGCTTCCTGGGACAGACTTGAAGACACTGTCAGGGAGAGGGAAGGCAAGAAGGGGTAGGAGGAGGGCCTCAGGGCTCACCCTCGACTAAGGAGCCACATGGTATGGGGCTGAGCTTGGGTTTAGTCACACCTTGACCTCTCTGTACCTCAGTTCCCCACCTGTCATCTCTGAATGGGCACACCCCTTCCAGGGCTCCTGCTCAAGCCCCTCAGTTGAACAGCACAGTGCCATTTGGGAAGGCACATGAGTCTCATGCTAGATATTTACCTGCATCACCTGATAGAACAGGTGTGAACAGGTGTGACTGGGCAAGCTGGGGGACACATTGTACAGTGGCAGGACTGTCAGAAACAGCGCTTCCAAAGTCCCTGTGCAAAGGTGCAGAGCTGGTGGCTGCCTGTTCAGGTGGGCACCCCAGGCCCAGGGACAGTCCCTTCCCCAAAGGCCTTCATGTGGCCAGGTGGCACCAGACCCCTTCTCAAAAAGTGCTCGGGGCCTGAAAACACACCCAGGGTTAATGAGGTCAGAAGTATGCGAAGAGTTTTACAATTTGTTTCTTGAAATGTGAGAGTGGAAAAAACGTTTTTAGAGCCACTGCTCCAGCAGTGACTTTTCAGTAATTTAGGAATAAATGGCCACCTAACAGGACCTGCTCATTAACCAACCAAGCTCTTTCATCACCGGGGAGAGGCCACGCTTTGCACAGACACCTTATCTCAGGAGAGGTCGTACAGACCTGCTGGCCATACTCACCACCAGGACGCCCTGCAGCACACGGGCCTCGGGGCTGGGCATGGCTCGGAGGCCGCAGATGGGCTCCTCCACCTTCACCCACAGGCTGAGGTTGGCCCGGCTGGCGCTGTTCTCCACCACAACCTCCACTGCATACTCGCCCTCATGGAGTCTCGGCAGTGCCAACACTGAGAACAGGGTGTTGTTGGCCTCATGGGCACAGCTTGGCACCAGGTCAGCCACTGAATCTGGGCAGGTGGCCTCGAAGGGCGCACTGATGTTGCCCCCAGGCCAGCGCACCGTGGCTGTGGCATTGGCACCAGAGTCTACCTGGAGCACCAACGCCGAGCCATTGGTGGACACGTAGAGGAGGCCATCATGGGGGGTGGGGTGGACCACCCGAAGCCCGGCCACCGAGGAGAGCACATCGAAGCTGCAGGATAGGTTCCACCTAGACACGTTGTTGCCCACTGAGGCCCGGACCTCATAGCGTCCCGGCTGCCTCAGCCCTGGATTGGGCCTGAGGCCCAGCAGGGGGGTGAGCCGTTCCGTGGCAGTGAGCAGCCGCAGGGCACAGGCCTGGCCAGCCCGGCTGGCCTCTAGCTGGGTAGGCAGGCAGCCCAGCCAGGCCGAGGCATTAGTAGAGAAGTATGGGGCCTCGGGGCCAGAATGGCTGAGTGCTGAGGTACAGCGCAGGAGGGCACCCGGGCCGGCATCATGCTGGAAGCCTATGAGGTCACCAGGGAGCAGGGGGCCATCCTGGCCACGGAGGGCGACCTACAGGAGAGGGAGGTGGGGCTGTGTCAGGGCCTCACAGTGGGCCACCTCTGGTCAGGGGCCTGCAGAGAACACTGGGCCAGGGCTCCGACAGGCAGGTAGGACCCTAGCGGGGAACCCGGAGTCACTCCTCCACATGGATCTCAACACTCATCACTCACTCACTCTACCAGGCTTCATAGGGGCCCCAGGCACTCATGGTGGGGACAGAAGGGACAGCCTCAGACAAACAGAACATGCACAAGGCAAGACAGAGAGAATGCAGCAGATGGGGCTTCCCGGACAGGGGAGGGACCTCTGAGGGACACAGCAGCCAAGACTTGAAGAAGAGGAGGAAAAGGCCAGGCCAGGAGGTTTAGAGTCTTCCTCAGAAGGCACAGAAAGCTAACGGTCCTGGGGCGGGAGCTTCTTGTGCTGGGAGATGAGCAAGGGCTCTGACAAGGCCAGGGTGGGCAGGGGGCCCGTGGACTATGTGGAAGAATCTGCATATTGTCTGCTTAATGGGGAGACCCAGACTTCAGGTGGCTGAGGGGGAGGCAGATGGCACCCAGGCCAGTGACACACACCGAGTATTGGGCAGGGGGCCCCGCAGGAACAGAGAAGAGGAACTCCCTCCACAGTGTGTAGGAGGCCCCTGGGAGCCCCGGCCCTGCCGTGGACCCGTTGGCCTGAGGGTAGCAGGGGGTGTCCAGTGGCAGGCAGATGTTGGATCTGGGGCACCAGACTCCTTCTGGTGTACAGTCAGGAGCCAGCTCAGTCCTGTTCTCCAGGGACCGACTCTCAGGCTCGCTGCTGTTCGCTGGGACCCCTGTGAGGAGAGGAAGGGTGTCACAGGTCCTGATTTACAGGGAGTTCCAGTCAGGATGTCCACTACTACCTGGGGCCCTGCCAGGAAGTACTCCCGGCCTCTACCATCATTCCCTCCCCTTCCCAACACGGGGCCAGCTGACTGAGCCGGGAGAACCCCCACCCAGGCAAGCCCTATCCAATCTGTCCCTGGGCCCCCAGCACGAGTGGTCTCTGTGGACACCATTCTGTCCACCTTGAGGCTGGAGACCAGTCCAATGGTAAAGAGACCAGCAGACATGACAACGCACAGAGGCTACCCAAGCCCCCCAACTCCCACCACCAGGACAGGGCCCCACCTGCTCCTCCCATGGGCCGGTACACCTGTAGCCTCATCTGGGCAGGCCGGCCGAGCTCTTGGGTTCCAAACTCGGCAGCGGTGAGGAAGGCTTCATGGCTCAGGCCCAGGCCAGGGAACACCATCACCTGGTGAGGTGGAAAGGGATAAGGACGGGGGGGAAGGGGGAGGTGTGGGGAGCAGGTGCCGGTAGGAGGGGGATTTGGCATGCTCAGCTCCATAAACCCTGGCCTGTAGCCCCCACCAGCCGAGAGGGGAAGGAGCCACAACAGGGGGCTTTATGAGGCTCCCCACACGCTTTGCTAGGGAGGAAAAGTCATGTCAAAGCATCTGTGAGCAGCTTTTTTTAAATCCACAGACAGAGAAAAGGCACAGGAGCTCAGAACTCTCCTGGATACCAGGCCAGGGGCTTCTCCTCCCTGCGCAACAGCGGGTTTTCTAAACCAGTGTCGTCAACCGGTGGTCCACGGACCGTCCACGAGGTCCGAAAGGTTGGCGACTGCTGTTCTAAACCATCTCCACTGGGCACACAGGAAATTTAAAAGGACCCTTAAAAAGGCAGCTGTTTTCTAAAGAGGCACACAGTAAGAGTGATCTGTGTCTGGGGGCAGGGTCTTGGCTGGCCTACCTCGACGGGCTCCCGGGGGGCAGAGAGGGCCTCTTGCTGTGCCAGGGGGCTCAGTGGTCCTTGCAGGTCTCCGCTGGGCGCCCCCAGGAGGAAGTTCTCCGCATCCCACACGGGGCCTGGGGTGGCAAGTGTGCAATGAGGTACTGGTCCCAGGCCAAAGAGGAGAGTGAAAGGGGCCAGGGCAGGACTGAGCCACCTGGCAGCAGCCCCCGCAACCCCCCAGCTTCCTCTATCTTTGTCTGTTTCCTCCGGTGCACACCCAGCCCAGGACGACAGCAGGTGCTCAGCAAACACCTAATGAATACTGACCGGCTAAGAAAGGAGCCGGGGGGCAGGGGGCACTATCTTAGCCAAGGGTAGGAGGAGCTCTGGGGCCAGGAGACTGTGCTTGGAGTAGCTGTCCTGGTCCAGGGCAGAAGGCACCCCCCAGCCCAGCAGCCCCAGCGCACCTCCAGGCCGCAGCTCACAGACGTAGCTGTGTGGTGCCGAGCACAGGTCCGTGTTGCACTGCCCGGCAGGCCCAAGCCGCACACAGCGCTCTGCAGTAGCGGGATGTGGCTCCCCAGGTAGCCAGTTCTGGCAGCTCTCTAGGCTGAAGGCCTCACCCCGAGACAGCGGGCCTGCCTCAGCGCCCTCCACAGCCGAGAAGCCGATCCACACGTCCAGGCCCCTGCAGATGATGGGGAGGGCGAGGACTCAGGGGGCTCCCCAAAGACAAGTGCCCCTCCATTCATCCTCTCTAGGGGCAGGCTTCTCATAGCCGTCCCTCAGGTGGGCCCTGCCCCTACTCTCCAGATGGGAAAACCGAGGCTCAGAGACATGACCTGGAGAGCAAGGCCCAGAGTAATTCCCATCCAGCCACCCTCACCATGCAGCTAGGGGCCCAGCCACAGGATCTTGCCTCAATCAGACCAGCACTATGTCCTGTGGGGAGGCCCAGAGTGTGGCATTTGGGGGCCATGACACCCACATATCAGTTCCCGAAGGGATATTCTCCAGAGCTTTGCCAAGGTAGGAAGACCCTCTTAGGGGCAAGAACTGTAGACACATAGCTAGGAATGGACACAGAAACAGACAGAGAGATAGGGATAGGGACAGACACAGGGAAGAGCAGAGGGACAGGGATAGACACAGAGAGAGAAATGAGGAGCTGTAGTCAGAGCCAGGCGCTGGGGCCAAGCATATTAACCAGTGACCTTGGGCATGGGTTTGACCACTCTGACCCTCAACTGATTTCCCCTCCTCTACACTGAGGATGTCCAGGATATGGTTTCACTGTCTAACTTAGGCTCTGCCCACACAGGGAACCAGGAGGTGGGGATCTGGCCCCCATCGCTAGCCTCGGCTGGTACTGAGGCCTCTCCAGCCACTCTCACCTTATCCTCCTGACTGTCTCAGGCTCTGTCCCCACCACAGTGTTCAGCCTCGCCACCCCAACCTCCCAGCCTCTCAGGGCTGGGTTCAGGTACCTGGTGACGCGGGAAACCAGGAAGTGCTGGATGGCGGGACTGTCCACCATGGCCAGGGCGGCCCCAGCCCAGGCCCAGCACTGCTCCTGCGCCTGCAGCCAGGCTGCCTTCTCTGCTACGAGGCGATAGCAGTGTCCGTTACCAGGGAAGATCTCGGTGTCAGACGGACATAGCGGATGCACCACTGGGGGCCGGCAGGGAGAGAGATGGGGCATTAATGTGTGCCCACCTGGGCCTCTGCCCCACCCACCCGACCCTGGGGTGAGAAACAGGAGTGGTGACCCGGGCCCAGGGAAATACCCACCTTGGGCTGGCTCCTCGCCCAGGGCCATGATGCTGTAGGTAGCTTCAAGGCCTGAGCCACCACGATTTCGGATGCTGAGCTCAAGGGTCTCATCACTGTGCACCGAGGCCGGACACATGAGCTCTAGGGCAGCGGGAGCCGCCTCCACCTGCACCTCTGTCCTCAGTTGGGCTGAGCCAGCCCCCAGGGCCAGCACTGCTGTCACGTGATAGCGCCCAGGCAGCACATAGTGGTGAACGCTGGCAGGACCAGCAATGTCCACCTCAGGGGAGCTGTCACCAAAGTCCCAGTGTGTAGAGCTGACAGGCAGCAAGGCAGTGACATGGAAGGCTGCTGGCTGGCCAGAGGCCAGGGGTCCTTGGGGCCCCACCAGGGCAGCCCCTGGGGAGGCAGGGAAGACATTCTGGAGGATGGTGGGGCCCCCGCAGGCAGGGGCAAGGGGCTGTGGGGAGCGAGAGCAGAAGGACAGGCAGATGGAGGAGGTATTGGGGGGATGGGCAGTCCCGCACAGGCAGTGGCCCTGCTCTGAGAGGGCCGCGAAGTCCTGGCCGGTGGAGAAGCAGAAGGCACTGCAGGCCTCGGGCACCAGTGGACCCTCATGAGCAACTGAGAAGGCCACCAGCACCGTGGCACCCGAGCTGTTGTTGGGGAGGCAGGCAACGTACTTCTCACCTGAAAGGGGCAGATGGCTGCCTCTCAGGCCCCACTCTAGATCCCAGATCACCCCACCCCACCCCACTGCTGGTCTTCCCCCACCCTGCCCACACCCTGGTCCAGAGGGCCTTCCTGGCCCAGTTAGTCCGTCTCAGCCCTGTTCCCCAGGTCCCCATCTACTGTGTAGGCTGGGGACCCGAGCACCTGCAGAGGCCCTGCTTGGAAGGGCTGTACCACAGGAAACGAAGCTGGCCCTGCCCACACTCACCACAGCCACTGTCAGACAAGGGGACTCGAAGGAGGGGCAGGCCAGCCAGGGGGCCAGGCCCCGCACAAGTGGCCGCCTCTGGCTGCACCACATGAACCCGCTGCTCCTCTACCCAGCGCGGCAGCCAAGCTAGGCCACAGTCACACTCCAACGGGTTCCCACTCAGGTTTCTGTGGGAGGAGCAGGGCCAGGCACTCAGTGTGTGGTGGGCAGGTACAGGGGACCAGGCCTGGCCTTGAGGAAGAGTCTAGGCCGTCCTTATCCCAGGGAGGTCAGCCCCCCAACCCCCAACAAGTGAACAAACAGCCTCTCAGAGTCTGGTCTCAAACTAGGAAGCAAGTATGAAGGCTAGGTCAGGAGGGCAGGGTGTTGTTGGGGGGCCGTGGGTCAAGCCACTGACACCCATCAAAAACAACACAACTTAGCCCTAGCCGGTTTGGCTCAGGATAGTGTTGGCCCTCGGACTGAAGGGTCCCAGGTTCAATTCTGGTCAACGGCATGTACCTGGATTGCAGGCTCGATCATCGGTCCTGGTCCAGGCTCATGCAGGAGGCAAGCAATCGATGTTTCTCCCTCTCTCCCCCCCCACCCAACCCCCCACTTCCACTCTAAAAAAAAAATCAATGGAAAAATATCCTTGGGTGAAGATTAACAAAAAATAAATAGAAAACAAAAACAATGCAACTTAGCCCAGCGGGTTGCTCAGTGGGTTGAGCATCGACCTATGAACCAGGTGGTCACAGTTCAATTCCCAGTAAGAGCACATGCCGTGTTGCAAGCTCGATCCCCAGTGGGGGAGCGAGCAGGAGGCAGCCAATCAGTGATTCTCTCTCATCACTGATGCTTCTATCTCTCTCTCCCTCTCCCTTCCTCTCTGAAATCAATAAAAATATATATTTTTTTAAATGCAACTTACATTTCACTTAAATTAAATAAATTAGCAAATGTTCCTTCTTCTAGTGTAGAAATCTTGTTGTTGCTTATGTCCCTGAAAGAAAGGGGGGATTCGGCAGGGTCTGAGGGATGCCCCCATAACCACAATGGTGACAAGCTGCCGCCACCTTCCCACCCTGTGGAATTCCACAGCTGAGCCAAAGGGGGCACTCACAACTCTGTCAGCGCTGAGAGATTCGCCAGGAGCCCAACATCCAGCGCCCGGAGCAGGTTGTGGGAGACATCTCTGGGAAACAAAGCGGCCACAGGTCAGCACTGGATCCCTGGGCAGGACACAAAGCCACCCCGAGGCCATCCTGGAAGCTCCCCAGGACCCCACCCCCAAGCTCCCTATCCCTATGGCCAGAATGGAGAATCGGAATGAACTCTCAGCTGGGGAAACCAAGGCAGGAGAGGCCTGGGGCCCCTCAAACTCCATCCATGCCCTGCCCCCTCTCCTGCAGATCCAAGGCCCTGCCCAGTCCCCTTCCCGTTGGCCCAGCAAGGCCATCCCACACCACAGAGGGCAGACTTCACCCCGCTCCACACAGGGGCCAGCTGCTGCCACTGGGGAGGCCTCTGAATGTCCCTGAGACACAGTGGGGCACAAAGTCCAGATGAACAGGGACAGGACCCTAGTGGATGACCCAGCACCATAGTGATGATAACAGCCCCTGTTAAACCTCAAGGTTAACATGACCTCGATAACATGACCCCACACGGTCAAGATAACACAGATTCAGTGAGAAGCATAATTGGGCAAGAACCATCAAGAAAAGGCGAAACATGGGTTGACCCTATGTTAAACTGTGCTACCTGCGTAGGAGTGGATGAACTGACAGATGAGAGCAAGGGAATCTCCTGAAACAGACTGTGACCCCACCAGAATCTGTGCAAAGAAAGACGGGACTAACACAACAAGGACGTTAGCCAAGAATCCCACTTTCCCTCCCAGCCCCGAGGGGGAGATCACAGTCACTCTGCCCATCTATCTTCTGGGACGGGGACCCGGGGACCACTTAGACACCCCCAGTCACCTAACCACCCTATCCTCCTCATCCTCTCCCCAGGCTCCCACAGGTCTCTAAATAAATGAGGCCTGGACCTCCTACCCATAAGCCTCTGCCCTCTGATGTCTCAGACGGCTTCTCACCAACCCTGTCTGCCCATCAGTGACCACACAGCCATGCAGAGACCGGGGTCCGTCGATGCCTCCTCCAGGCCTGCCAACCCAGCTCCTAAAACACACAGCCTCCCCCCCCCCCATCCTACCTCCATCCCTGGCCCTGGCCCCGCCACCATGGGCCCTCCTATCCAAGCTCCCATGGCAGCCTGGGGTGGGAGAGTGTCCTGAAGCCCAGCTCCCATCAGTCACCCTCTGGCTCTTTCTCCAGCCTGCTCTGAACACAACAGGAGCTGAGTAAGAACAGGCTGGTGTGAAACAAGGTCCTCCTGGAGCCGAGGCACCGAGGACCAGCCCAGGCCTCTGGGCCTCCACACACACAGGCCCCAAGGTCATGGGGGTGAGGGGAAGACAAGGTCCCAGGGCTTGGCTGACTGGGATGCCTGGCACAGTCCACCCGCTCAGCTCACAACCAGGACCACCTCTGGAGCCAGGCTCAGGAAATGACCCCCACCCCAGCCTCTGACCACTGCTCCTCCCTGGAGACCTGCTGGCCACATGGAGCTTCATGGCAACCAATATTTGAATGCTGGCCACCTACCACGGACAGGGACTGAAGGCTGGGTCTCAGCTAGGCTGCTCCCACTATCCTGGCTCCCAACATAGCCAGGGGGCTACCTAGGGAGTTTGGGGGGACACCACTGGCCTTTGAGTGACCAATGCAGGGGGCTTGGCCCAGTCCCCCTGTGGCTTCCACTAAGGGGGTGTGGGGATTTGAACTATGGACGCAGTCAGCTAACACTGGGAGCCTGGTGTGTGTGTGTCTGTCTCTCCGTCTCTCTTTGTCTCTCTGTCTCTCTCTGCCGATGAGCAGACAGCACATGGACATGAAGAGCTCCACTGACACTGGCCTAGGCCTGCCGGGGGTGGGCAGCAGACCAAGGGCAGCCTCAGTCAGAGGGTACAGGCAGCAAGTGAGCAAGCACACGGTCCTCCAGTGAGCAAGAGGGGCTGAGAGAAACTCCAAACACAGTCAAATGCAGGGGTGAGCAAACTTTTTGACTCGAGGGCCACAATGGGTTCTTAAACTGGACCGGAGGGCCGGAACAAAAGCATGGATGGAGTGTTTGTGTGAACTAATATAAATTCAAAGTAAACATCATTACATAAAAGGGTACGGTCTTTTTTATTTTTAGTTTTATTCATTTCAAACAGCCGGATCCGGCCCGAGGGCCGTAGTTTGCCCACGGCTGGTCAAATGGGCCAGGCTGGCAGAAAAGCAGGCAGGTCCTCCCGGCGGTGGAGCCTCTTCAAAACCAGACTGGGGTCCTACAGGGCGGGGGAGGCATTGGTGGGTCAGAGCTCCTGCTGGGACCAGACAGGGATGGGGCTTCCGCCGGAGGACCCACAGCAGCCCCACCACTGCTCTGACCAAGTGGCCCAACCAGGCAGGATGCCAGGACACCTAACTTGGCAAGGCTCTCCTCCCAGCAAGAAGGTCGAATGGCAGTGCAGGTGCCAGCTCATGCAGTCATGCCACCCAGCACCCTGAGAGCCTGACTGCTTTGGGAACCAGTGCAGCCACACACTGAGAGGCCCAGACGTCCTTTGCCCTCACCTGTGACACGAGACATGATCTAGTTTGAGAGCCCTAAGCCCATCAGCGGTGTGGCTCAGTGCCTCCTCAGCACACAAAGGCACGAGAAACACAGGTGCAAACCGCAGCCCCCGCTCCCCAAATGTTCAAACTGAGAACTAAAGAAAGTGCCAGAAGAGGTGCAGAGTAACAAACCCATTCTCAAGAGCAGGCAGGTACCCTAGATTTTCCACACTCGCATGCTGCTCTTGAAGTAGGAGGGTGGGCAAGGGTAGTCAGAAGCCACTCCAGCCAGGGAGGTCAGGACCCAGGCCTCCTCCACTCCAGGAAGTGGCACTGTGGCCTCAGGGTCAGATCCGAGACCTGAGGCTCTCCATCTGGAAACGGGAGTGTGTGCTTGCACATACAGGTCTGTTTGCCTCAAGGGCTGTGGGCCAGGAACCCATGCCAGAGTGTGGTTCTAAGAACTCCAGGGGAGAAACCTTTGTGGACTAGGGGACATGGGGATGGGGCCTCGGGCAGGGACACCTCTGCTCTCCCCATCTGAGCCCAGCTTCCCCCTTCCCTCCGACATGGGGGTGGGAGGAGGCTTTTTCCTTTGTCTGGCAGCTGCCATCAGGTAAGCCAAGATACATGCTCAAAAGTGGGTCTGGGCCCTACCCGGCTTGGCTCAGTGAATAGAGTGTGGGCCTGCGGACTGAAGGGTCCCGGGTTCGATTCCAGTCAAGAGCACATGCCCTAGTTGCGGGCTTGATCCTCAGCAGGGGGCGTGCAGGAGGCAGCCAATCAATGATTCTCTCTCATCACTGATGTTTCTCTTTCTCTCTCTCCTTCTCCCTTCCCCTCTCTAAAATCAATAAAAATATTTTTTTAAAGTGGGTCTGGGAGACATGGGGGGGCATATGCTTTCTTCTAGGGGGCACAGTGGGCAGCACTACCCATTTCTGTGCTCAGTGTACACTGGGAAGGGTGGGAGCAGAGAAATCACTGGAGTGGAGGTCACTGGAAGGGTCATGGGCGAGGGTCACTAAAAGGAGAACCGTTGGAAGGGGACAGTGGTAGAGTCCTCACCCAGCCCCACAGCCCCGAGGCCCTGAACAGCCACTTTCCACATCTCCATCTGCTTTTGCCATCACTGTTCTGGGGGAACGCCAGGGCGTCGGGCCAGCCCCATCCCCTCTCCAGCCCCTCAGCTTCCTCTGCACCCCCAGGTGATGTCATCGCAATCTGACACCCTGTCCCACACTCAGTTGCCCACAGTCCTGCAAAAGTGGGGGGAAACGACATGGGAGGGGAAAACGACAGGACACAGCAGGCCCAAGGAGCTGCCTATAGGAGCCCACACAGTGGGCAGAAACAGCAGAGGCCAGACCCACGGGAGGAGAGCCAGCAGCCTGGCTGGACAGCACCCTGAGAGATGCTAGGCCAAGCAGGCCCACCCTCTGAGCCAGCTGGACCATCCCAGGTCCCTGCAAACCCCAAGCCAGCAACTTCCAGGGATGCCAAGGTTGGAGAGATTAGGCCAGCTTGGGGGGGGGGTGACCTGGGAACAGGCACACACCCACAACAGCACAAGACATGTGTCACCTCCCTAGGCACCAGGGATATGGCTGGGAGGGGCCCCCACTGCCTGCAACACTGAACACGAGTCCCACGGAGATGGGGACTCTCACTCCCAGCCCATCCCTTCTGCTGTCCCCTCTCCTGCTCCAAGACAGGCAAGTGTGATGGAGAAGAAGGGAAGATCCCTGGTCTACCCCACGCATCTGGGCCCTCCTTCTCCTCCCCCAACAGGGCCCAGCAGTCACTGGGGAGCCCGGTCTGTCCCCACGCAGGGGTGGTCCCAACTCCCTCTGCCTTCTAGATCAGACATTCTCAAGGGGAGGACCATTAGCTTCCCCTGGGCCTGCATCCTTGTCTTCAGGGTTTGAGCAACCAATAGCACATCCCAATTCCTCTGACTCTGATCTTTCCTGCTCCAAGCAAGAGAGAGGGTAGGGTGAGGGAAGGGGGATCCCTGCATCCACCACCAAGCTGGAGAAGCCCAGCAGAAGGGGCTGAGGGCCCACCCAACCCAATGGACAAAGGCAGCTTCCCCTGCCCACACAGGGCTCTGCCCCTGCTCACATCCCAAGCCTTGCAGTGAGAAGGGGTGGCAGTGGAGGGGTGGGGGGAGAGAGGGGAGGGGAGGAGGAAGGGAGGGGAGGGAGTCCCAGGACCAGAACAGAAAGAGATGGAAAGGGACTTTGAGTGCAAAGGTAAGTGGGGTGGAGAGGTGAAGGCCAAGGAGAGAGGATGCTGTGACAGCAGGGCTGGAGTGTCCCCTGGGTGGCTCCAAGGGCAGTCCCTTTCAGAGCTGAGGAAATAAAGCCCCAGACAAGGCGGGAAGCTGCCCGGCAGCCCAGAGCTGCCTAAGTTTTCTCCTCGGCCGAGGACGGGATTGGCCTGGGTGCCTGCTCTCCAGTCTAGAGCTCCCCAGTCCAGATGCCGGGCGAGGTCTGGGGGCCAGTCAGAGCCCCCAAGGAAACATCTGCACATTCCAGACACATGTGGTCAGCGGCGGGGGTGAGTGCCAGGCCCCAGCCCAGCACCCCCACCCCAGTGCTGGCCGCTGCGCTGGAGACAGGGCTTGAGGGGAATGGGCTCCAGAAGGGCCGCCTGCACATGTTATGTAACCTGCTCCTCCCAAGCCAGCAGCTGCCTCCTCCCTCCGACAGGACAGCACAGCACAGCGGTAGCAGAAAAAGGCATCCTACTCCCCATCCAGGGCCCAAGGCTCCCTCCAGCCTGAACCCTCAGAGCTCCTGGAAATACAGTGTCAGTGGGTCTGGCTGGGCCAGCCTGTCCTCTCCTTGGAGGTGCCACACACTCCGGGAGAAACAGGTTCCCGTCCACCCATCAAGGGGAACGCCACACACAGTCCCTGGAAGCCAGGCTCAGGCAGAAGGGAAGAAAGGCCACAGTGCTGGTCCTGGGCCCCTCAGGGGACCCCTGCCCCCACCTCAGCCCTCAGGCCAGGTAGTGCCACCCACTTGCTACCTCGTCACTCACTAATGTGTCCTGTAGCACTGGGTACAGGCAGTCAGGAGCCCAGTCCTGCGCCAGTTTGAGTCTAATAACCTCATTTTGTTTTCATTCCCTTCTATTTGTGGAGAGTGAGGCTGGCTTCCAGGGCCGGAAACGATGACTTTTAATGAATTCAAGTTTAAGAGAGAGAGCCGATTTAAAGAAAAACATGCAGAGAGGATGAGCTGGGGAGGTGGGCAGGAGGCAGGCCTGCCAGGGAGAAGGGGCAGGGAGGGCCCACCAGACCCACATTGGCTCTGTGCCCAAGCCCCCACCTGGCTCTAAACCAGGGCCCAGGGAATCAGCAAGGGGGGTGGGGGACGTCTCAGCCTTGAAAACTAGAGGGAAAGGCCAGAGTGAGAGCCGCCACAGCCTCGCAGCCCCAGGGCTTGGAACAGCAGGTGGTGCCCATTTCACAGGGTGTCCTGTGGGGCTCCCTCAAGGAGCTTTGCCACCCTACTACTAAGCTGTCACCAGGATGAGCCATGGGTGTCTGGTACAGTAACACCGACTGGCTAGGACCCCCCTGGGACCACAGGCAGATGAAGCTGTGGGGTGTCCTCCACACAGCCCAGCCCTGAGGAGGTGCATTTGGAGATCAGCCACTGTCAGGGTACTAACAGACCAGGGTGGGGGCCAGGGGCTGGGAAAGAGGGGGCCCACCCAGGAGAGGGGCTCAGCTCACCCTTCCACCTGCAGCTAGGGAGTTGGGGTCCCCCTTCCAAGTTGAGAGGAAAAGAACCAGCACCTGGGTGCCCCCCAGGCACTGCACTCAACTGGTATGTCCCTCTGACGCTGGCCTGTCCCAGCCAGCCCGAGCAGGGGCCGCACCACCCCTTTACAGAGAATGCTGAGGCTCAGGGAAGCCACCATCCGCACCCCACCATCAGTTCTTCAGAATCTGAAGAATGAAGAAGGCAGCCGGGCTCTCCCAACCTGGCCAAGGGGCCAGCACAGGGGCAGAAGCATCAGTCCAGCATGGCCGGCAATCCCACCACCCACTCAGCTGCTGGGCACAGCCAATGGCATGGTGCAGCCTGAGGCCAGGGCTACGGAGCTGTTTGGAGGTGCGGGACCCTGGAGCCTCCAGTGCCGTTGGCCTTGCCCTGAGCCTGGCCCTCATTTCCCATCTCGACTAGAGGGAAAAGGTGGCTCTGCTCTGCTTGGTACAAAGCCCCTTCCAGAGTGGCCCCAGGATACAGGAGCGGGCGCCGTGCCTCCCGGGCATGGGGGCTGCTAAACTTGGGAGCACTACACTTTGTCAGGCCTGGGCCCACAGGCTCCTCAGGAAGAGAAAGAGCTCCGCCCACCTTGGCCCCCAAATGCAGTCTCCTCCCTGACATCAGCAGCTGGGCATCACTGGGCCCCTTGACGGAGATGGCTGCCAAACCATAGAGAACGAGGTGTTCCGGGGAAAAAGGACATGAGCTGCATTTTCCAGCTGCCTTTCACTTGGCAGCGCCTCTGCCGCCTTGGCCAGCTGGAGATGCAGACACCCAGCAGGCAGGGCCAGGCCCCGGTGTGCCGAGAGCCCAGACACCGCACCGCCCCAGACAGTGGCAGGGGAAACGGGATGTTTTCATTCCAGAGTGCTCAGCAGGCTGGGCCCACTGGGTTCTCACTGCGGCACTGCCACCACACAATGTTCCAGAAAGGAAAATGTGCCTCGCTATCCAAAATGGCTTCTTCTCTGGAAACCGAACCCAGCCAGGGTCTCTCCCCACACTCCCTACCCAACCGGCACAGGGGCAGCTGAGAGGGGCTGAGGGTGGGACCACATCTGGCAGTGCCAACTAGCCCAGCCAGTTGTCACATGATGGTGGCCCCCAGGCATGGCCTTTGAAGAGAGGACAAAGAGGTGCTAATAGGAAGTCTACCAGGAGATGCCCTGGCCTTGGGGAAGCGGGGTGGAGGCATGGGCTGCAGGCCAGGCCTGCAGAGAACTGGGAAAAGGAAACTGAGTCCCCTTAAAGCACCTGCATAACAGGCTAGCTCCCCCAGTGAAATCACAGGGTGTGCACGTGACACCTGAGGTGGCAGCAGAGCCGATGTGCCGGGGGACCCTGAGCAGTTTACATGCGTGTGGATTCCACACCAAGACCAAGGTGCTCAAGAGAGTTCGCAGCACTCTATTCATGCCTCGCAACTTCACTGTTTTACATATCCCCACCTAAATGCATCAAAAACAAAGGCTTAAAACTGAGATAAAAACACAAGTGGAATGTGCTAGGCCTAGGCATGACGAATCCCACCAGCTGTGTGGCTCTGCATTGAAGGCGCTTCCAGGGCCAGACCAGGCTTCTGGATGTGGTCTCCCAACCTGGGTGCTGAGGGGTGTGTAGGAGTCTGCCTGCTCAGCCTCATCTGTGTTTCTATCTGCTGTGGCATTTGGTCTGAGCAACAAAGTCATGGGCATATATGCACCAGCTCAGGGGCACTTCTACTGATTATAGCATGTGTCAGTATTCCATTCCTTTTTAAGGCTTTTGAGTTCTGTCTGCTTTGCAGCAGGGAAGGTCCTAGGGAACCATCTCCTGGTGGCTGGTGCTTAGGATACAGTAATGGGCTCTGAGAACATGGAGAGGAACAGATGGAAGGGGCCACTCTGGCAACAGTTACAATTATTGGGACCATCAGCAACTGACTCCTGTGGATGTACCATACACTTTTACTTCTGAGGCCCCACAACCCCGTGAGATATGTATCCACTCATGGCACCATTTCCCAGGTGAGAAAACAAACTCAGAGAGGCTGAATGACTTGGCGAGGTCACACCGGAAGTTTAGGAGCTGGGATATGAACCAGGTTTGACCCAGGGCCTGAATTCCCTACTCCTGGGTTCTCATGCCTCCCTCCTAAAACCAAACAGGAAGTCGGTGGAAAGGACTAGAACAGAGACGGCAGAGGGAGGTCTGAGGAGTTGGTGGGAAGGGCAGGGCCAAGGAAGCAGCTGGGGCCCGAGTCCAGAGCCCACTTGGTCCCACTCAGGGATACCCCTACTGCTACCTCTCTCTGACTTATAAGCCAGGTTGCTGGTGCTGTACCCCAGGCCCCTGCATGCAGTTGTGGGGATATGCCCCAAGCATGCTGATGAAATCACCTCTCTGCCACAACACACCAGTCACGTGACCCTAGGAAGTGACTCAACCTCCAGGAGACCAGTGTCCTGGTCTGTAACATGGGACCAAGAGTGGTTCTACCCCCATAGCACTGTGAGACACTGTGAGATAAAGGCAAGAAAGGGTCTAGCCGAAACCGGTTTGGCTCAGTGGATAGAGCGTCGGCCTGCGGACTGAAAGGTCCCAGGTTCGATTCCGGTCAAGGGCATGTACCTGGGTTGCGGGCACATCCCCAGTAGGAGATGTGCAGGAGGCAGCTGATCGATGTTTCTCTCTCATCGATGTTTCTAACTCTCTATCTCTCTCCCTTCCTCTCTGTAAAAAATCAATAAAATATATTTAAAAAAAAAAAAAAAGAAAGGGTCTAATACAGAGCCCAGCACTTGGCCACTTTAGAGGGATAGGACAAGGCAGTGGTGGTGATTTTCTTCAGAGATTTGTTTTTAATTTAGACATAATTCACATACTATAAAGTTCACCCTTCTAAAGTATAAATTCAGTGGTTTAGGATATTCTCAAGGTTGTGCAACCATCACCACTATCTACTTCTAGAACATTTTCTTTTTTTAAAAAATATATTTCATTGATTTTTTACAGAGAGGAAGGGAGAGGAATAGAGACTTAGAAACATCAATGAGTGAGAAACATCAATCAGCTGCCTCCTGCACACTCCCTACTGGAGATGTGCCTGAAACCAAGGTACATGCCCTTGACCAGAATCGAACCCGAGACCCTTCAGTCCGCAGGCCAACGATCTATCCACTAAGCCAAACCGGTTAGGGCTACTTCTAGAACATTTTCATCACCACACTCCTTGACCATAATTGCCCCACCCTCATCCCGCACCCTAGCTGTAGACAACATTAGTCTGCTTTCTGCCTCCATGGATATGGCCACCCTGGACATTTCATATCAGGGGAATTATTCAATATGTGACCTTCTGAGTCTGGCTTCTTTCACTCAGCATCAAGTTTTCAAGATTCATCTATGATTATAGCATGTGTCAGTATTCCATTCCTTTTTAAGGCTGAGTAATATTCCACTGTGTGAATAGACTACATTCTGTTTATTCATCTGATGAGATACTTGGGTTGTTTCCACCTTTGGCTACTAAGAATAATGTTGCTATGAACACTTGTATACACGTTTGTTTGTTGTTGTTGTTTTTTTAAAGAATAGTTTATTGATGTGTAGAAAGAGAGGAAGGGAGAAGAGAGAAACATCAATGTGTGAGAGCAAAACACTGATCAGCTGCCTCCTGCACACCCCCTACCGAGGCATGTGCCCTGACAGGGAATTCAACCAGCAACCTTTGGGTGCATGGAACGACGCCCAACCAACTGAGCCACACTGGGAGGTAGACTGGAAGGCCTCGGGTTCCATTCCCATACTAGTTTTTGTGTGGACGTACGTTTCATTCCTCATGGATAGATACCTGGAAGCAAAATTGCTGGGTCCTATGGTACCTCTATGTTTACTCTCCTGAGGAACTGCCCAACTGTTTTCCAAAGGACTGCCCCATTCTACAGCCCCACCAGCAGTGGAGGAAGTTTCCAATTTCTCCACATCCTCATCAATACTTGTTATTGTCTGTCTTTTTGGTGTTAGTCATCCCAGTGGATGTTATCACTGGGGTTTGATTTGCATTTCCCTGAAAGCTAAACACTGAGCATCTATTAATGTGCTGATTGGTCACTTGTATATCTTTTTTAGAGATATGTCTGTTTCCCATTTTTTAATCGGGTCATTTGTCTTTTTTTGCATTGCGTTACAAGGGTTTTTTATCTATTCTGGCTACAAGTCCCTCATCAAATAGATGACTTGAACATTTTCTCCACCCTGGTCCCCATTCAGGGGACCACGTATAGGAGATGTGTGCCCTCCTGTCCATAGTTTTGGCAAATCTGCATTCTGTGTCTCATCAGGAAACTAACATCACACACACATTTATAGTCTGAATTCCCAAGTGCCAACTGTCATGTGCAGCTCAGGCAATGTGAGGGTGAGACCAGCAGGGTGTGCAGGACACACGGATCCTCCTAGGGCCGTGGTCGGCACACTGCGGCTTGCGAGCCGCATGCGGCTCTTTGGCCCCTTGAGTGTGGCTCTTTCTAAGCCTTAGGAGTACCCTAATTAAGTTAATAACAATGTACCTACCTATATAGTTTCAGTTTAAAAAATTTGGCTCTCAAAAGAAATTTCAATCGTTGTACTGTTGATATTTGGCTCTGTTGAGTAATGAGTTTGCCGACCACTGTCCTAGTACATGCTATCTCCACACAACAGCCAGTGTTCTTTCTAGAAGATGCCAACCATGCCACTTTCCTCCTAGATCCTTCAATGCCGCCCCTACCTGCTCTCTCAATAAAGGCCCCACCTCCCACCTCTCCATCTGACACTCTGCCAGGCTGTCCCCCATCTGTTTGGGATACTCTCACCAGCCCCTACATGATTTCTGTGAGTCTTGACTTCAATGTCACTTACACTGGGGAACCTTGTAGGTAGACCCTCCAAAGTGCCCCCCGCCCATTATCTGTCTATGGTTTAACAACGGCTCCCTCATAACTGAGCCTCAAAAAGGTGGGTCCTGAAGACCCCTGGCACAGGGCTGGCACACAGCAGTCATGCCAGGGCTCATGGAAGGAACCCTCTGTTGCTGAGCCAGCCATGGGGCACCTGCAGTCTAACATGTTACACACACACACCAAGCCGGACCAAGTCCAGGAGGTGCTCACCTTACCTCACACACATCCTGTGCAGACAACAGAGGCTGAGCCTCCCCCACACTCTCCTGTCATTTAGGGGTACAGGTAGGGAAGGGAGAGGCCCTGAGTGCTCCCAGCCAACAGATGATCCTAAGGCCCCCCAAATTTTAATCAGCAAACCAATTGAGTTCCTAGCCTAGACCCAGACACAAAACATGCACAAGACAGTACACAAAACCCAGGAAGGGCCCCTGGCCAAAATTCGCAGCACACAATACCTGAGAAACGGTCAGCCAAAATCACCCC